AAATCGAGAAACAGGGCTCACAATTCCGGACATTCCGGAAGCCATCCGAGGCAAATGCGCGTCTGACTGCTCTCGGCTGGGGCCCTACTGAGGTACTTCAGGCGCGCCCCTCGACGGACTTAATGAAATAGGCGAAGCGAAGCAAGTGACACCAAGGAATGCCCCCCTGGAAGGCGTCCACCGCCCTCATGGCGCTTTTAGCTGCTTTCCCCCTGGAAAATGAGGCCGGAAAGTGCGACACACATCTGAAAAAGAAAACAGCGCCGGTGATCCTCTTGATCCTCGAAGGTATTGGACACATCCGTGATATGGCTGGGCAGCAGTGGAAACAACCATATATATATATATTATAAATATATATTAATATATACACACAAACGCAGGAATACGTGATACATGTCCTGCAAACCAAGTAAGCCGAAGATAGCCCAACCTGAAAGGCTGCTTCAGCGTGGATCAGCCCTGGCATATTTTCACCACGAGCTAGCCTCAAGCCTGTGTCAAGGAAGAACTAATGTTGCCGAAACAGCCGAAACTGCGCCAGGCTCAGGGCTTGCCCCAGTTGCAGCTCAATCTGCTCTTTGCCAATAGCATGGCAAGCTTTATTGGCGCCGTCTCACCTGGCACAGCGCTGGGTGGCAGCTGTCCGCACACCACTCATATTTATCACGGTGCTGGAGAAGCCCTTGCACATCCATGAATGTGCACATACATGCCGGCAATCCGAAAAAGAACATGTCGTGGGAATCACGCTGGGTGCTGCCAAGGCAGCTGTCAAACACGCAATGATGTAATGCGCACTTGGACGCATGGTCATGTTCACTGCTTCGTGGTTCGCAGCAAATATGGCACAAAGCACAAGATCTTTGCCAGGCCACCCTAGCCATATCCGCTACAACCGCTCCCAGACTGATGTGATGTCACTGGAAATGGGTTGCCATCTTCTTTGGCACTTATTTTGCACGCCCAAGAGAAATGTGGTACGCCAGCTCCAGCCTCCCACAGGCTCAGCGCCTAAGATATTGGGCCTTCGACTTCCCGGCTTCACACTCTGCATTGAGTCCTCCAATGGCTTGTGCACCTTGGTTCCCATTCACCTTCCGTGGCGAGGATGCTGCTGGGCCAATTGAAGAAGTGCCTAGCATATGTTTCCATCTCTGCTGGGCCAATTGAAGGAGTGCCTAGCATATGTTCCCATCTTCAGAGCAACGGTCCAACGCACAGGCTTAAAGCTTACGGGACAGCCCCTGGATCCTCAGTTTCGATTGGTTTGCGCTGGAAGTCTGGGCCTCGGCCATCGATGGTGCAAAACCCTCATTTTTGTAGATCACCTCATTCATCCTCCAGAGCACAGATTTTGCAGCAAAGCGATATGTTTGGAAAAATAGGCCCTGTTTCCTGCTTTGTTTGGGGTGCGAGCATGAAACGACGTTGCAAACAAAAAAAAAACAAAAAAACCTTCCAATAGACATGACAGGCAACTACTTTTCTCAGTTGAATCTCGAAAAAGGGTTCGGGCAACTTTCAAAAACTCATCGGTCACTCGCCACTTCACCTTGTCTCAGCCAAACCACGCACGCACCCACACACACACACACACACACACACTCACCTACACACACACACTCACTACACACACACACACCTTCTGGGTGTGTCAAAGTAGTAGGGTCACACCAAAAATGGTGTTCCTTCTGGCTTCCCTTTAAACCAGCCCCAAAATGGTTACTCTCAAAAAACACAAACCCTGTTGGCCCTGTTTCTTGGCTTTGAAAACGTCTTGGTCCCCTGGCCGGCTCCACTGTGTCGAAGATGCTCTCAATGAGCGGCTGCGGGTCTTGGACCCAGGAAGCCAGGTCACCTTCCAAAGACAGACAAGGCTGCCTGCCTGGTGAGCTGCTTGGGGGGATGCCAAAAAGATAATTAGTCAGCGGAATGCCTAGAATAATGTACCCTGAATTTCGAGTGTTGGACAACTACTACTGATTGTACTCGGATTACCACTGGTTCTCCAATTCAAATCAAAGGTTCAGTTCTGTTTGGTGTACATCAGGACATCAAGCACATCCGAAAAAGCCTTTGTGATCTTGGAACGCCCCTCACTGCGCTGATGCAACCAACGCTCCCTGTGCTTGCTTTGAAACACAATTCCAGGGCTGGCCAGGCCTCCAACGAAGCCGATAGTCATGAAGGGCGCCTCGATCCTTGCAGACCTGCCGAAGTCACCCGAATCACCATCCCAGCGCAAAGCGACACCCTTTTTCAATCTAAGATAACACGAACATCGGTGAGAGCGCTGCGAATATGAGCAACTACGTCAAACTAGGAACGCCTGGACTTGTGTTTGGTCGACTATGATCACATGCTGCCTGACATGTCCGGGCCTCAGGAGGCCTAGCGTCACCGAGTGCATCTCCACGGTGCGCGCGCTGGTGTCAGTCAAGTCGAAGAAAGGACCTGGATCCAAATCAAAAAATCGCATCTGCAAGTCCTTCAAAGTTGACAACATCAAAGGGATCTGGTTCCATGTGGGGTGCTAGCTGTTAGTCCGGTCCAGCCGCCCTCTGAGCTCCGCACTCTCCAAACTGCACAAACACCAGCTTTAGCAGGTTCGTGGTGACCCTGGGCGTGCGCTTGCCACCACTACAGCCATCTCACGAGAATTGTTTGTCTGGCGACTGGTAGTTGCAGGCACAGTGTTCAAACAGTATGGAATGAAGGTACGTGGCTTTAGAATCTGATCTGCGGCAATCTACCTTCCCGTGACAGAGTTGAAATAACATGATGTTGCTCAGCAGGGTAGAGGGGAATGACCCTTCTAAACCATCTAACTGGTGGTTTCCAGTAAAGGGGACCAAGCCTGGAGTTCATTCCGCTCCCTACATGCGGAAAATTTCATTGCCCAAAGTAGAGTCATTCTCCATGTCCAAAAGGCTTGACAACAAATTGGATTGACAAAGTCTTCGAATGGATATCTCCGCTGCCCTCCCGGCAACAATGATCAGACTAGGGCCCGTAGGCATGCTTGGCGCAAAGCAAATCCAACAGACCTGATGATCTTGCAAAAATTGATGTGAGACTAGAAGCAGGAAAGGCCAAAAACACAACCGTATCCAAACACACCATCAATTGATTTCAAGCTCACCCTTTGAATAGCTCCAAAGCAGCTGCCATTTCTCTTGCAGGACTCGCCACTTTCCAGGCCCATCAAGGGTCGCGCTGGTCACCCCACGTTTGATGCTCAAACGGCCACCCTGATTTTTTACCAGTTTCCACGGCTCAAAAGCGAGAAAGGCACAGGCTGGCCCCCTCATAGCCGCCAAAGAGGTACACTGAGCCGTTGTGCGTTGCCCAGGAGGGACAGCTCCTGGATTCTGAAGCCGACGCGGGAAGGCGGCGAAGCGGACCAACAAACACTTTGCGCTCTTGGTCTTGGCAGCAGTCATTAAGGTCATGATGTGCAAGGATGAAAGGACATCAATTGAAAGCTTTGGCCAGAAATTGCTGGGGCCCAGGGGCCTACGATTTCGTTACCACAGCAGCCGGGAGCGTGGAGTATGCGCTTGCAAAGGGCGGCAATCCTGAATCGATTGAGGAAGGGAAGGGAGAGGTGTCAATGTCATGCATGTGAATGTCTTGTCTGATGGAAGTATTCTGATGAAGCAGGTAAGCACCACAATCCAACCTCCCTTCCACGCATGAGGGCCGATATGGGGGCAAACTTTCATCGCTCCTTCCAGAAGGGATGAAGCCCTGCACCTGAGTGGAGTACCACCTTAGCTTGGAAGCCTTTGAAGGCCCGAGAGGTCGCTTCCCCACTTGGTCAACAATCATGTTCACACCGCATGAACAGATTAAATGTTGCAGGGGCGCTGCTTTCTAGGCGTATCATCCTCAGCGCTTGTGAAAACTGGAAAAAGAGGAAAAACTCAGCCTTGACGCCATTGAGTCAATAAGGCACCCAGTAGGACATAGATCTAAGACTCAAAGTGACTACGGCTACTCATGCCTATACGCATCAGGGTTGACAGTTCCCGCTGTTGCTCAGCAGCGGCGTTGTCTAAGTGCCCCACGCGCCCCCCGCTCAAAGTCAAAGTCGAACATGTCATTCAACCATGCTGAGCCATCATAGCCCCCAAACACGTACATGAAGTCACCATTCCTCAGTGCAGTAGAACAATGCAAGCATGTCGATGGTTGTTGACATGTAGCATGTGTGCAGATTGCTATGATCGTCTGTGGCAACCTACTACATGCAAGTCTCTCTTGGACACACGCATCTTGAAGTGGCTACCAAAAATGCAACAAACTCTCTCAGCTGGCAATGCCTCGAAGCTGCCGACACCGGAGACGTAGCCAAAGCGGGTCGAGGGCACGCTGCCTTGTGACCAAGACCTTGGAGAAATGTCCATGTTCAAACATGCTCCGGCGAGAGCTAACTTGGATGAACACTGTGTCATTGGGGCGCATCGAGGATGCGCTGAAAGGAGAGCTCGGAACAAGGAAGAACTGGGTAAAATTCCGCATAAATACAACTGGCCACTTGCCAAAGCAATGCAGCTTCTGCGGCTCACAACGTATCATTGGCTCATTTTGCTGAAAGCGCGCTGCGACAGGCGGCTCCTGTAAGTATCCAAAGTATGCAGCAGAAATCGCTATGATTCATAACGCCGGTCATGGCTTAAAACAGATCTTGACAGCGTATCACCGGAGCAACGGCGTGCTGACAGCCGCCGGCGTTCTCGCAGTTCTCGCTGCAAGATCCGCCAGCTGACGGAGTGCACAGTGCACATGTTGGCAGTGGGAAAACTCGGAGACCGAAACCTTTCAGGCTTGCCTTACAGGTGTCCACGCAAGTCTGCAAACTACTCGATTGGGAGGCGATCTCACAGCCAAGCTGACAGCTTGGTCGGATCGCAGCCCGCTGTCACGGCCACAACAATAGCCGTCCTGCACGAATCCTTCAAACGTCTTGAAACTTATCCCCGGAAAGCAACATGCTACGTTGCCTCGCCATCCCTCTTCGAAGCATCCGCTCCTGGCTGCATTGCGCCTTGCAAATGTCCACCGGAGCCAGTGTTGTTGACAAGGTCGTCGTAGGAAGAGAACCAGAGCGCAGGTTCATGCTCCACCTGCAAGCATACTCGCATCCACCTTCGGGCTCGCAGCTTTCGGAGCATGAGCCGCCACCAGAAGCAGTGCATACCGTGCACATGTTGGTCTGTCAACCAAGCTCCATGTAAAACATCCCGTCTTGGCTTTACACTCGTTGATGCAGGAGTAAAGGGTGTTGGAGTAGAGAGCAATCTCGCAGCCCTGCCCACAGCTGGGACGCCCGCATCCACTGTCACGGCCGCAGCAATAACCAGCCTCAACGCAGCCCTTTTGACACAAGTCGTGCGGCGTGGGCTTGGCGGAGCCTCCGAGGATCATCTCGTAGGTCTGGTCCGCGAGCTGACCCGTCACCTCGCCGGTCTCACAGTCGTAGTCCAGGAGACGCACGCGCGCCACATGAGCGTCTTGCTGCCATCTGCGTGGCGGTCCTCGTGCAAGCTGGTGCCAGCTGAACCGGGATAGCCGCGTCCGCGATCAGGGCCGGTCCAGCCCAGTGGAAGAGGCACTTCGGATGCCTTGAAGCCCACCACGTCCGCCGTCGTGGTAAAGCGCGCATAGAGGTATGGGAACTCAACATCATGGAGCTTGCTTCCATGCCACATCTTCTCTGTGGCGTGGCTCCAGGGGCCCCATAGTAGTAGAGATCTCCTTGCCAATTCCACTCGTCAGACAAAGGACTGATCAGCTTTGAATTTGGTCCACTGTTGTGGGCCTGTGACCTTCAAACGACCATTGCTCATCTGGACGACTTCCAGCCGGCCGCTGCTGCAGCACTTGGAATGAAGAGTTTGAAGGCCGGGTCCCCCATCAAAGCGATGTTCATCATCACGTACTCGGCGGTCTTCTGAGCAGCATCCGTGGCTGATCTATGTGGTTCAGCGCCCGTTGTTCAACCTGCCACGAGGGCTTCGCCAATGCTCTTGCCCAGCGATTTCATTCCAAAAGGCAGCATGCACCAAGCCGGAGGCGGTGATCGCATTCCGCGGCCCACCCAGAAATGCCACAGCTCCGTAATGCCTCACTTGTCATTTCCAACATGGATGCTTCGGGTTATGGGTGGGTTGTTGCGATTGCAACTCGAAGCGCAGGGGCCGCACATCCAAGGATACGCTGCCAAGCTGCAGCAGTGTCAAGACCACCGAGTCCATAGGATCGCTGAGTTTGTCGAAGCCAGATGTGGAGCAACCACCAGAACCTCGCATCACCACATGCATGACAACCTTGGGATGGTCACAATAAATCGACTATTTTGAATCCGCCGCCCTTGAAGGCGGAAGGCAGATTCCCGGGAAGGGTGGTCCCAGTTTGGGAACAGGACCTGTTTGCTCCGGTTTGCTCCGGTTCAAATGTAAGCCTTAAGCGCCAAAATGTGAGCTGTGAAGTAGTAACAGCAACAGCGGCAGTAGAAATAGCGCCCGTCGGCTTCCAAGGAACTCACCACAGAAGGAGACAGCAGCACCTTGGTGTTGTACTTGAAGGAATGACCCATTCCTCCAGCTCCAGCATGGTCCACGTGGATGAACGCAGAGACCTGAAGTTCGAAAGGTTTGTGCAAACAAGCTGTATCGTCCGTGTCTCGTTTACCTAAACTGCAATGTCCATCAACAGCTCCTGCCTGAAGCTTCTGGAGTTGCGCAAGCTCGTGTTCATCCACCATGTCCACACTGAAACCCACATTGGTGAGAGCGGGTCGGATGCTGTCTGCAGAGGATTTCAAAGTCCCTCCCATGCCAAAGCGACCTTCTGAAGCTGCGTCACGGACATAGTCATAGTTGCCGATGCGAGACCTTCGCACGACGGGAAGTCTGTGAGTGCGTCAGTAGTCTTCAACTTTCATCTTTGCGAGGCTCATGAGAGGCCGGGTAAACTTTGGCCGAAAATCAATAGCCCAGGCACACTAGAAGGCTCGCCGATGCCAAGTTTCGTGCTACAATGCGCCCCAAGGCAACATCGAGGAAGATGTCCTCATCCAAATCCGCATACGGCGCATCGCGGCATTTCTCCTTGCGCTACTATCGACCGCCGACTCTCTACGGCGGTCATAGGGCGATCGGAGTACATGCGACGACTTTGAACATTGCAACTGGTGCCGAGTCGCCTCACCGAAGAAGTTGCCAATTTCACAATGAGGTGGAGCGGCGTGAGTCCACCCGCAGAACCATACTTTGGCATGCCGTGCCGCAATGTGCGCCTTCAGCTGCTTTCTTGATCATCGCAGCATCTACAATCACGGGAAACCGCACCTCTGCGTTGTATCAGTTCTGGCCAGGACAAAAATTGCTATGATTTCCAGGACCTTCTAGATCTGGAAGCGCTGATAACTTGCAGTCGGTTTGCAGCTGGTGCGCTCTCGGTGGGTAAATCAGATTTTCAACAGACCTTGAATATCTTTGCGATCGGGGCGATTGCCAAGTACTCGGGCTTGCCCAATGTAGTGTGAATGGGAAGTCGGAAGCTCAGAAACGTGTTGAACAAACTTTCGAACAGGATAATTGAAACTCGCCACCGGCCTCCACGCCATCGCGCAGATCGGTTTGTGGTACGAAGGAATTATCCCAAGCTGCACTGCAGCTCCCACGTAGAAAAGCTCTTGCACCTTCAGCGCATCGATCACCGACTTCAGGGTAGCCTTCGGGCCAGCGACACTACACTGACAGAACACGCCCTCCGAAGTCTGAAATGCGCACGTTCTCTTTGTTTGCCTGTGATTTTCTTTCAACGGTACTGCTTTTGGGTTGCTTACAAAGGAAAACCCACAGGCAAACAACCATGTTCACTTTGTGGATGCAGGGTCACAAGCCCACTGGCTTTGACCTAAGCTTCCTGCCTGGTCATCGACAAGAATCAGCGGCACACGTGTTTCGCTGCCCGGGGAGGCGGCCATCAGCGCTGCTGCATAGTCATCGCCTGGGGCAAAGCTCAACGGAACTTGGACACGTCTTACGACATACAAGCTCCTTCCTTAGAGCACACACACACGAAATGGACTCGCACAGTGCCGAGGGCATCACATTTTGCCACGACGATCTCAGAGCTTTCATGCCAGAAATGCTGCGCCAGCACGGCTGACGCAGCACAGGTGGAGGACGCTGTCAAAGCCACTTCTTGCCCAAGCCTGCCAAGCTTCACTACCCAGATGCCGAGCCCCAGAGATAGGTGGTTTCTGGGCGGTACTGCGTCACAAAATCTGCTTCCACAGCATCCTCAACTTCCTGCATTACCAGGATGGCTGGCTCACCGGCGGATTTGACGGCAGCTGGGATGATGGCCGGAAGAAGCTGACCAGGATCTGCATCTGCTGGTAATATGAAGAACTGCGCTCCAGCCGGCCGGTTTGGCCTTCGCACGGTCGGTGCTCATATAGGCTTTGGTGCCCCGCTGCAGCAACGCAGACCCAGATTCGGCGGTGCGCATGTCCTGCAGCCGAGACGTCAGCTCCAGAACACTGGACTGCGATCAGGGTAGACAAGATCAGCGAACGGTACCATAGCGCCGGTCCAAAGGTTATCTTGACCTGCAAGCGGTAGGGTGCAGGGGTACCAATGTGAGGCTAAAATTGCTGAAGTGTTCACGCAAGCCGCTGTTGACACATCAGTTCAACCCGGGTCGCTCTCGCATCTGCAAAGCAACGCCAAGTAGAAAGCAAAGCAGAAAGCAAAGCAGAAAGCAAAGCGGAAAGCAAAGCGGAAAGCAATGAAAGCAACACAGTAAAGTGGCCGATTGTTTGGCCAGTCCCTTTCGAAGCAAGTCAAGGCACAAAAGTGCTGAGCAAAGCCTCAAGCTTAAAGCAGGTGCAAACAAGCAAGGCAGGGCAAGGCAAGGTTGGCAAAGCATGGCAAAGCATGGCAAAGCAAGGCACAGTCCGGCAAAGCAAGCAAGCAAGCATGCAGGCACGCACGCAGCCAAGCAGCACAAATAAATGCAATGAAATGCAGAGCAAACCAAATGCAGAACAGCGCACAAGCGAGAGCAGATATAGCAAGGCAAAGCAAATCAGAAAGCAGAGCAAACAGAGAAAACAAAGCAAAGAACAAAGCAAAGCATGGAAAAGCTGCGCAAAGCAAAGCAAAGCCAAGTAGGCAAGCAAAGCTTGCGGAAAGCAAGAATGCTGCCTTGCTTGCCAAGTATACTCAACCCGGCCAATAGAAGGCTGAACCCGGCACTGCCTGCCAGGTGCTGGTGTCGAAATTGAAGCTATGGAAGTCGTTCAGCCAGGTGAAGCCGGAGTATCCTCCGAACCTGAGGCTCAATCTCGGCTTGACAGGTGTGAGCCCCCCAACATCGCCCCCCTCAAAGACATAATTGAAATCATCAAGTAAGGATTGACCCTGTGAGTGGCGTACAAGCCTCCAAGGGGAAGGAAAACATTTAGCCCTGCATGATGCTCTGAAAAAAAGCTCAAGTTTTTAGGGACTACCTCGCCTCAAGCTTCATGACTAAAATGCTGGGGACATCCAGGACTGCAGTAAAGGCACCGCACCAAGGGCTTGCAAATTTTTAGACCTGGTTTCCGCCTCCCTTGCCGCCAAAGCTGCAAATACATCTTATTGCTGTGCACCACCGCGCCGTTGTTTTCGCGGCCAGCGGGCACCTGAGGCGGGCAAAACGGTGAAGGCATCTGAAGCAAGCTTTGCAGCTGATTCGCTGATTCCCAAATAACAGTCAACTCTATCTTGAATCTGGGCTCCCGAACAGTGCCCTGCACCTCCAATCGCGTCCAACACCTGCCATGGCGTCTGATTTGGGAGTCAGTGGGCCAGTGAGATTGCATGATCGCATAGAAGTGCTAGATGGCCCCCTGTTGTGCCATCCCAAATATGGTTAATTCAATGGGGATAACGGAGAAGCAGCTCAGAAGCCGACACTAGATCTGCTTCTGCCAGTCAGGGCTCAAGATTGTGCCCTCGTAATCTCTCAATCTACAATAGATCAAGCGACATGGACATCAATTGGTTGATAATATGGGCTTATCCTCGACAAAGCACCCTGGCAGTCTTTTTGGCAGTCTTCTGGCAGTCTTCCTCAAACATGCCCTGCCTGGATGGGAAGTCAAAGCGGTAGATGTCATCTAGCCGACCTGAACAGGCCCAGGGGCAAAGCTGTATCCACACTGCGCAAGTGAAACTGCTTTCGTGGAAGCAATCAGGACCCACATAAAGTGCTAGTGGTGATAGCATCTGTTTGCCAAGTCTGAGCCATGCAAGTGTCAAGTTGAGGGCTGTTCAACTTATGTCAGATTAGGGTCTTGATGCATGTCTGGAGCTGCAGGTGTTGAGCCGCTCAATCGACTTCAATGTATTGTGACGTCAGGACCACAGCAGCCACAGTAACCTTTCTGCCACACAAGCTGCCCTTGTCGGAGGCTCACGAGGCTCACCCTGGTTGCTAATTCCAGGATAGGCCTTCAGCATCTTCAATCATGTCCAAGCATTGGTCTGTAATCTTCAAGCACGGTCAATAATATTCAACAACATTCCTTCACCACCATTCATCCTGAATCGACTACAATTGTCTTGAAATTGATACAGTGCGGGCCGTGGGCACGGCCGCCCGCAAGCTTGGAGCGAAAAAGGCAAGTGGGTTTGTCGTTGTCTTGCCTTGCTACTTTGCTTCTGCAAAGCTCCCAACAATGCCACGGACAGATTGCCCAGTGACCGCGCATGGATGGACTACATCTTAAACATCTTTAGCTGTCCGAATTTCCCTCAGATCCAATGATGCCACTGGGATCTCTGAGTGACGGGCCACTGCCGCCATAGCCGCCAAAAACGTAGAGCGCATCCTCGCGGTCGTATCAGCTCGAAAACAAACTCAGGCAAACAACACTTGGTAGCTTCAAAACTTTACTCAGAAGTGCGAACAGCTGTGCAATGGTCAGCAGAACTGTTGCAAACTAGATAGGATTAGTCAGCAGAACTGCTACAAACTGGGTAGGAATAAACTCTTGTAAGTAACATCGCAAAGGGAGCAGGAGCTCTACTTGGCCGTATGCATGCCGCGTCAACTTGTTCGGGAAGTAAGCTTCGGGAAGCCTGGCAAAAGCAAGTGTGCCAATTTATGGTCTTGCTTTGGATGTGTTTCCATCGTCATGTGAATCGCTGCCTTCAAGCCAAATTCTGACCGACTGCATATATGGTCCGCTAAGCGACAAACACAGTTCTCGTGGCAAGTTTGAGCAGCAGCAGCAGCAGCGGCGGCGGCGGCGGCGGCAGCAGCAGCAGCAGCACTCCTGGTAGATGACACTGGATGCACCACTGCGCCTCATGTGTTGGCCAGGAACGACTACATGCCTGCTGATTTGCCTCTACTGACCGTTGTACTTCCAAAAGAAAGCAGTGCTTCAATACAACACCAATGGCTCTATTGAAGTACACTAGCAATCAAAATAAGCTTGGAGCAGCCCGAATAGCGCTGGAGTCCAGTTTTGGTCAACTGTCTTGACACGAGCAGACTGGCACATATATATATATATATATATATACATATATGTATATATATATATATATATGTACGAGTATTAAATGTGCATATGTGTTCGCATAGATAGCTTTGAGCTGCAAACAAAGAAGGGGACTCGCCAAAGGATTCAGCTCTGAGGGCCCTGCTCCCCAGGCTTTACTGGCGAATTCAGCTCCACCTCTCGCCACCTCCAGCTCGGCAAGGGATTTGATGACTTTCTCGCAAGTAGTCAGAGTATTTGATTGGCAAAGGATTGGCAGTTAGAGAGCGAGTTGCTTGGTACTTGCTTTGCATCGGGAACGTCGTGATTGGAGCAAGGCAGCGCTCCAACCTTCAACTCTAGTTGCTGAATGGCAACATCTTTCAAAATCACAAATAATGGGCAGCAGCCGTTTGATCCCGCCAAAGGTGATTCTTGCTTCCGCCAGGAAAGCACCTCTCCACGTCTCTCACACAATCTTTGATCTAGCTGTCCCTAGCGATAGCTCTTTCGCTGGCACGCTGCACTTTTGAGCATGTGACCCAAACCGCCCACAGCCAGTGTGCTGGGGAGTTAATCTGATCGAAAGGCGTCCCATCCCCAGCCAGTCTGGTTCGAGTGTATCGCCTCAATGTGCCACATTTGATCTAGCAAGCTGTGTCCAGGCATCAAATGTATGTGGGCGAAATACACATGGCCTGTACCCACATCCAAGCTGTCCAAGCAGTCCATAATTTGGGGGTTGCTTCAATGGCAAGCTTCTCTTTCAAACCAGTCACAAGGAACAACAACCACATTGCGCGGAAGCTTCCGAAGAAAGGCGTTTCATTCTCCAGGCTCCTTGAAAGTGCATCCGTCCAATGCTCGTGAGATTGCCAGAAGGAAAGCTTTGTGCCTTTCCCCGCAAAGATATAGATATCATAAATTTATAAATCTTGCTTCATGCAGCCATGATTGGCTGCAAACTGTGAGCTTGACTTTCCCGCTGATCGGATCCATGGACATCCATCCAGCTTCTTGGCTGAGGGCCACACACAAGTTTACACTTCAGGTATTCAGGCTACACTGTTGCTCTAAGTTTAACAGGGACCCCAATCTCCAGCCCAACTTGTCAGCTGACTGAGTGCCGCACTCAGGTCGGCAATCCTCTGTCGCGACGTCGCAAATGTAGACGTTGGCTGTACTTCCTGCGAAAAAGGAGGCCACTCTCAACGAAAGCCCTTGACAAGCCCGTGCAAGCGAGCATGACCTTGCCACATCCAACTCTCACCCTCTCTCACGCGCCTACGGCCCCACAAAAGCCGCTGACGATGCGGCCCAGGAACAACCAGCCAATCGATGGCGCAAACCCTGAAAGACAGGCCACTCAAAGGCAGTCGTTGCGGCCATCGTCTACCTGGCAAGGAATGTGGCAAAAATGCCATGCACAAGCACCTACCAACCAGTGACACGAGGCACAGCAGGTTTAACCACTATTGCACAACAAGTAGACGACTGCCAAAGGAAATATGTTAGAGTGTGCTGACACTGCCTCGGACATCGGGATCATGGCCAAGTAATCTCTTCCCCCTTTTGATAAATGGACCCTATTCATAAATTATATTTTTCCCAGACTGCCGGGTCCCCAATACTACTTTTAGAATAGGCCAATTCAAAACCAATACTAAACTCTCTGATTTCTCACCCAGACCAGCTTCAGCCTTTTTAGGGGCTGGGCAACTAGTCCAGGACCCAAGCTCCTTGCAACAACGCAAAAACAAGCTGAGGGTGTTGTTTTGAACCAGCTGGTAATTACTGGTGAGCCGGAGCTCCTGGAGTGCATTTCCTTTGCTACGGTCGTACTACAAAGCTGCGACTTTCGAGCTGGAGCTCCGGGAGTACGTTTCCTTTACTACGATCGATTTTGGGCTCGCTTCAAGGGATGAGTATCTTTGTCGCCAGGGGGCCCATCAGACCCAAAAGGACCCTATTAATAAATATGTTTCGTCCCCGAGGCTGATGTACTAATAGGGGGGGGGGGGGGGGGGGGGGGGGAGGGTTATTATTAGGGGGAAGAGATTAAGCCCGGGCTCATTCAGCAAACAAAAGCTGCCCAGAAATCCAAATAAGAGAAAACATATTCAGCAAATCGTCGCATGCTTGCAAAGCTTGCCAAACAGACACTAAGCTTTAGGCCAGCATGCATCCCCAAGCTTTCGCAAGCTTCTGCAAGCTTTCGCTCGCGATTTTGCGCTGAACCGAATCAAACCAAGCCCAATCAATGCATGACCCGCCTCTGCCAGCGCTGGCCCCGCTGCTAGCAGCGAGTCCATGGCTGGCTCCTCCACACCAGGTCAGTTATTGCGGAACCCAACAAAAAACACAGAAACAAAAAACAGAGAAACAAAAAATCGAGAAACAGGGCTCACAATTCGGACATTCGAAACCATCCGAGGCAAGTGCGCGTCTGACTTCTCTCGGCTGGGGCCCTAGCTGAGGTGTCCCGGGCCGCGCCCCGCAAGCGGGCTTAGCCAGATAGGCGAAGCGAAGCAACTGACACCAAGGAATGCCCACGACCTGGAAAGGCGTCCACATACTCATGGCGCTTTAACACGCTTTCTTCCTGGGAAAATGAGCGGAAAGTGCGACACATCTGAAAAAAGAGAACAGTGCCCACGTTGATCCTCTTTTTCCTCGAAGGTATTGGACACATCCGTGATATGGCTGGGCAGCAGTGGAAACAACCAAATATATATATATATATATATATATATTATTAATATATACACACAAACGCGGAATACGTGATACATGTCCCTACAAACCAATGCATGAAATGCCCAACCTGCAAGGCTGCTTCAGCGTGGATCAGCCGCTGGCATATTTTCACCACGAGCTAGCCTCAAGCCTGTGTCAAGGAAGAACTAATGTTGCCGAAACAAACGAAACTGCGCCAGGCTCAGGGCTTGCCCCAGTTGCAGCTCAATCTGCTCTTTGCCAATAGCTTTCAGCATGGCAAGCTCCATTGGCGCCGTCTCACCTGGCACAGGGCTGGGTGGCAGCTGTCCGCACACCACTCACATTTATCACGGTGCTGGAAAGCCCACGTGCACATACATGCCGGCAATCCGAAAAAGAACATGTCGTGGGAATCACGCTGGGTGCTGCCAAGGCAACTGTCAAACAAGCAATGATGCAATGCGCACTGGGACGCATGGTCATGTTCACTGCTTCGTGGTTCGCAGCAAATATGGCACAAAGAACCACTGATCTTTGCCAAAGGCCCACCCTGCCTATCCGCTACAACCGCTCCCAGACTGATGTGATGTCACTGGAAATGGGTTGCCATCTTCTTTGGCACTTATTTTGCACGCCCAAGCAAGAAATGTGTGCCGGCTCCTTCCCACAGGCTCAGCGCCTAAGATATTGGGCCTTCGACTTCCCGGGCTTCACACTCTGCATTGAGTCCTCCAATGGCTTGTGCACCTTGGTTCCCATTCACCTTCCGTGGCGAGGATGCTGCTGGGCCAATTGAAGAAGTGCCTAGCATATGTTTCCATCTTCAGAGCAACGGTCCAACGCACAGGCTTAAAGCTTACGGGACAGCCCCTGGATCCTCAGTTTCGATTGGTTTGCTGGAAGTCTGAGCCCTCGGCCATCGATGGTGCAAAACCCTCGCCATTTTTGTAGATCACCTCGCATTCATCCTCAGAGCACAAGGGCCTGCAGCAAAGCGATATGCTTGGGAAAACAGACCAGTTTCCTGCTTGTTTGGGTGCGAGCATGAAACGGCGTTGGAAACAAAAAAGAAAACCGAAAACACCTTCCAATAGACATGACAGGCAACTACTTTTCTCAGTTGAATCTCAAAAAAGGGTTCGGGCAACTTTCAAAAACTCACCGGTCACTCGCCACTTCAGCAAACCACGCACGCACGCGCACACACACACACACACACTCACCTACACTCACACACACACACACACACACCTTCTGGGTGGGGGTCAAAGTAGGGTCACACCAAAAATGGTGTTCCTTCTGGCTTCCCTTTAAACCAGCCCCAAAATGGTTACTCTCAAAAAACACAAACCCTGTTGGCCCTGTTGTATCTTGGCTTTGAAAACGTCTTGGTCCCCTGGCCGACTCCACTGTGTCGAAGATGCTCTCAATGAGCGGCTGCGGGTCTTGGACCCAGGAAGCCAGGTCACCTTCCAAAGACAGACAAGGCTGCCTGCCTGGTGAGCTGCTTGGGGGGATGCCAAAAAGATAATTAGTCGGCGGAATGCCTAGAATAATGTACCCTGAATTTCGAGTGTTGGACAACTACTACTGATTGTACTCGGATTAAACGGATTACTGCTGGTTCTCCAATTCAAAGGTTCAGTTCTGTCCTTGGTGTACATCAGGACATCAAGCACATCCAAAAAAGCCCTTGTGACCTTGGAACGCCCCTCACTGCGCTGATGCAACCAACGCTCCCTGTGCTTGCTTTCAAACACAATCCCAGTGCTGGCCAGGCCTCCAACGAAGCCGATAGTCATGAAGGGCGCCTCGATCCTTGCAGACCTGCCGAAGTCCACACGAATCTATATCCCAGCTTGCTGACACTCATGCGCAATGCAAATGACCAACACGAACATCCGGTGAGAGCGCTGCGAATCAATGTAAGCTAGACCGCTTACGATGTGAAATGTGAATGGGTGCCTGCAACAAGGTGGATGATCATGGTTGCTTCAAGCTTTGTGTGACAGCTGTGACACAAGGCGAGAAAAAGACTCCACAGCTGGGCAGCCAAGGAGCAAAGCTGCGAGTCATGAGCAACTACGTCAAACCAGGAACGCCTGGACCTGTGTTTGATCAACTATCATCAATGTGTCACGTATCGTTCCTACTGCTAGGCTGCGACGCACCCCAATTCTTTTTCCCTTCTCATCATTCATAGTCTGCACTGCCCGTGCCTGTAACAACCCTCATCGCCTGAGGGATAATGCTTTGGATTTCCATGCATCTCCTGCATGGACTGTGCTTAGAGGGGGCCACCGGTCAACTCCGGTTGGGATGCCTCTAACATCCTTAAAAGTTCCCCTCCCCTCGAAACAGCACAGTGCGCCCTTGCGCAAACCCCAGTCCCATCGGGACCTTCAAAGTTGTCGGTTACTGGACGCCAGGCTAGACAACTAGGGTGGGTTGGGTGGGGAAACCAAAAAGGTGTCTGCCAATTTGGCTCAGTCTTGATCCAAAATGGCAGACCCATAACAATTGATGATACATGTTCACCCAATGCCTGCCAAGCTCTAAACATGGCATACATCAATGTGTCACGTATCGTTCCTACTGCTAGGCTGCGACGCACCCCAATTCTTTTCCCTTCTCATCATTCATAGTCTGCACTGCCCGTGCCTGTAACAACCCTCATCGCCTGAGGGATAATGCTTTGGATTTCCATGCATCTCCTGCATGGACTGTGCTTAGAGGGGGCCACCGGTCAACTCCGGTTGGGATGCCTCTAACATCCTTAAAAGTTCCCCAATGCACTTCATCAACTCCCAAAGCACTACAGAAAGCTCGTCACCGCGAGCACGGCACGAAATGGCAGCTTCCACATGATGGGGAAACAGAAAGCAGTAGACATTGAAAAATCATTTTGGCGGGCCCATGGGTCCTGCCATCCTAACCGAGAAATCGCATCAGACCAGTTGGATTTGGAAGGGATCCACTCCCAATACATCCAAACTTTCAGCCCAAACAAAACTGTGTGTATCACGTGGGACATTCGTTCCAGATCAGGCTCCCTGGATCTACCACGGATTAAACACATCAGGGCTGCGGTGTTATCGATGTACCACACTCCCCTCCGATTACGGAATGTATCCGGTCGGCAGAGGAGTGCGTACAACACCATGGACAGCTCCAATTGGGCAATCTTCCGGTCCCCCGGAGTCCACAACTGGTAAAGCTCAAGTGGGATGTCGGCTACAAAAGCTTCCCGTCGCTCGGCGAAGCCGTCGGCCCACACCATCAGGAAACCTCCCGTCCCCTGACGAGGGCTCTCAAGAGCCGCATCCGAAGCTATCACAAACCTCTCACACGGCACTGGTAAAACCTGAAGCACTCGGCGTGGCTGGGTAGCGAAAACTGCTTCTAGCAACTCAAGGCTCGCCTTGATAGGCTCAGTCAGCTCAGATGATCTCTCAGCCTGCCGCGTCTTGATGGAGCCCAATCCGCCGCATCCCACGCGGCCATAGACTCCCATCTCCAAGAAGTTAGCCAGGCCGTAGATCTTGGCCGCGAGGCCAGGTGCGAGTCTCCCCTCGTTCCTGACCTTCTGGATCATCCCGGACATCTTCTCGTGCAGCCGCTCCCGAGCCCAGAAAGACACCACGCCGTCGTGCAGCGCCTGAGATAGGTCGTGGTCAAGCCCCAAAAAGAGCCCTTGGGCTGCCATAGGCTGCTTCTTGTCCTCGGAGAATGGCGTGCCCAGCAGCCGGTTCAGCTCTTCCAGTGCCCACTGGCCGGAACCACCGGCCGATCGCCAATCCGTGATGTGGGCGTCATCGAAGTAGAACGAAACCAGAAGGGCCAACAGTCGTCTGGCCAGCGCTTCCGCTAGCCTGGAGTACCGATTGAAACTGGTCACGGCCAACGGCAGGCCAAAGAGCAGCCCTGCGTACCGCTGAAACGCAGGCGCCCCCCAGCCCTGATGCCAAAAACAAACGATGCAACCCCTGGCCTCCTCACTGCTCATAGGAGAGTGGCGATAGGCATCTGGCCAATCCTCCCGCCGGACTGCCACGAGTCACCCTTGCGGGCCGAGCGAAGTTGGCTCTCATCCATGCGCTGCATCACCGCTGCAATGTGCTGGGCTGGTCGCAACGGTGAACAGAGGACTAATTTATTGGCGTCCGATGAACGGAGGGATTGACCCCCTGTGTCTGCGTTGTCGATCACACGCTGTTTGCCTGAGGACTGTGTGATGACACACCTGGGTATGAGTCGGAACTCCTGCCCTTTTGAGCTCCCGCTGCAGCTCGGACAGGGCCATCGGGGCTGTGCAAAACCCCCGCTCAGCGTCCTTCTGCGACTGCTCCAGCAAGAAGGCATCATCCTTGCCCGGGCGCAAACTAGCTAGCACGAGCCGGTTGTTCTCGCCTGCCCCATCCAGGACCTCCTCAAAGGTGATCCTCCGCGCGTCTTGCTGGGGGAACACGCCGTAGTGGGGGGCATAGCCGACTGCTGGCAGGCCCACCACCAGGCCATGGGGGTATGATACGTCGGGCCACGCCAGCAATATCACCAACAGGCCCAGCAAGCCAATGTCCCTTTGTGCTGTCACTGCTTGGAGGGCTGGTGCCTGGAATTGCCTCAACTGATCATCCACTCGCTTCCATCTCTGCTTCAGCTCCTTGACGGCCCCGATGGCTCCACGTCGCATCTGGCGCAGGTCCCCCCTGCGTGCCGCCATGACGGAAGCCACAAACTGCAAATCCTCATCCATCACTGCTTCTTGCTCCAGTGGGGTTGGCGTCATCTTCATAGCCAAGGCCGCAGCGAAGTGGTCGTCCGGATTGGGTACACCGGAGATCAGCGGGGGCAGGGCTGCCTTGTGGCTCAACGCACCCGCTTGCTGCCCCTCCGCTGTGCGCGACCGGATGCGGACCCCCGCCGGGGCCGTGGCAGGGCCCAGGGGACCATCCCAATCCAGATGCTGCCCGTTCCGCCACTCCGCATAGTCGATGAAAGGAGACTGGTTGATAAGGTCCTCAATCATGGGGAAGCGGAAGCCCGTGAACCAGGGCTCAGGAAAGAGACCCAAGAAGCAGTTCACCACTGCCTCTTGCGTCCAACGCCTCCACGGCACCGCTCTGGCATCCACTCCTGGCAAACCGCCCCATGCCAGCAGGACTCCTCGTCTTGGCACTCGTCGGTTCTTCCGCCGTGCTGGCTGTGCGGCCGACTGCTGGACACACTCCTCAAAAACCAAGCCGGCCAAAATGTCAGCCTCGCACACCTCCTCAAAGCTGCAATCACAGGCCAGCCTCTTGCCCATCAGCTCTGGCAATCGCTCATTCAGGCCTGACTGGTGGACATACTGCACGAAACGTGGGATCCACTCGTCCCACGAGCAATCGTGTCCCGGCACCCACGGGCATCTCCAGTCGGACGTAGGGACTCGATGGCTGTGATGCCCTCGTCCAACGTAGACCACGTCCTCGGGTAGGGTACCATCTTCGTACAGCACCTCAAGGATCACCACTCGCCGAGGCACCGTGGCGCCCGATGCCAGCGCGGGCGGCTTGAGCCCGAGGCTCACCGCCATCGGTGCCATGGCCCATTCGCGTAGAGCCCGTCCATCGAACTCCAACCAGTGCTCCCGGCGACCTACCGTCTCAATCGCTGGCATCTGCGGGACCGTCAGGCGTGCCTTGCCGACCCTGGCAGCCCACCACGAAGCCGCCACCGCGATGCTGAACGCCAGCGCTGCCGTGTACTCCGCCTCGGCCTTGGACGGGTACCACCTGCCATCGGAACTCTCCTGTGGCTCCCACTCTCGGGGGTGGTGGGTATGGTGGCACATCAAAGGCGGCCACTCCTCGATCTCCTGGACGTTGTGTCTGAGGCACTGGAGTTTGCTCCTGGCTCCCGCAAACACGCATGCGGAATATTGCGTGTCCTTCCACAGTCCGGACTCCATCATCGCCTGCTCCTGGGGGAGGTACCAGTGCAAGCTCCTCCATGGGTTCTCCCGCACGGAGGCCCCCCCTCCTTCGGCGTGCTTCTGGAGCTGTGTGAGCATCCAGCCACATGCCGCGTTGTCTGTGTCCACCCGAGCCTGGTCCTTGATTGCCAGCCCTGGTAACCCCAGGGGCTGGTCTGCTGACCGGAGGGGCTGGGGTGCTGGTCGCCCGTCGTTGAACTTCCGCGGAATCTCCCTCGCCCGCGACTTGGTGGAACAGTCCATCGCGGCCGCAATGAAGTCGGTCTCCTCGAGCTGGCCTGCCAACGACTTTTGCCTCAGGGGGTTAGACAGGTCATGGGCGGGGTCCAGGAGCCAGTCCACGGAGACGGTGCGCCATCCACACCACAGGAAGGCTTTAGTCAACGGGAGATTCGGCCCACACATGAGGTCAGCCATCAAAGGTGGCTCGCCACCAGGCAGCGCTACCGCAGCGGACCCAGAGGATGCAGCTGCCACATCATCCTCCGGGCCCCATCAGGAGCCTTTCCCCTTCTTCCCAGCGCGACAGGTGGACGCTCCGTGGTTGCTGCCCCCACAGACGCGCTCCCCCCTGGTCACAAGGCCGCAGCGGTGAGCCCCCTGCTGACACTTGGTCGCCTTGCAATTGCCATGCTGGAATGCCTGGCACAGGGTGACTCCATCCTTCAGCACTTTTGCCACCGCCCGACCGCCAATCGGCTTACCCAGCTGGAAGAGGGACGTACTCGGGGTGCTGGTAGCCACTTTGCCCACAGCCGGAGTGGCCGGCGCGGCGCTCCCCTCGCCGGCACGCACCACCCAGTGCGGGTCCCGGGCCTCAAACACCTCCATGACCACCTTGCCCAGCGTCTTGGTGCTCTCGCGGAACTTGGTCACCCACTCAGTCCGTTCGGCCAGGTCCTGAGCCTGCAGCCATCCCAGCCGCTTGTGGTGCGGGAGCGACTGGAGCACCCGTCTGGCCCGGTAGTAGTAGGCCAAGAGGACATCGAGCGGGACCTGGACGAAGCTCGTGCTGTCGGCCCCCAGGACGGCCTCCCTAGCCGCCTCCGGAGCACCTGACACTCGGCCCGTGCCAGCCAGGGCGTAGGCCACCAGCAACGTGTAGAGCTTGTCCAGATAGCCCTCCCAATCTCTGGCCACAGTGTCCTCGTCCGCGTCCTCTTCGACGAACAAGGTGTCCGCCAGCTTCCTCTTCTTGCTGGATGACGTGAGCTGGAATTGCAATGAACGAACCTTCCACACATCGAAAACGCACAGCAGCCTCTTGGACATCTCTCGACTCACTCGGGAAACGGTGGCATCCGAAGGGTACAATTCCGGGGGGAGCCGAACTCGGTACCTGGTCCAAAAGGCCACCTTGACATCCCGAAGCTCGCTGTCTCCCAGCAGTGAATCGAGGTCAGTGGCACTCACTTTGGAACGGTCGGTGTCACACTGCTTGAAATACAGTGAAACCGCGGACCAGGCCCGCCTCAAACGAGCCACCTGGATCATTCGATCCTCTCCCAGATTCAGTTTGCCCAGGAAGGTTTCAACCTGTGCCTCCGAGTCGAAGAAAAACCGAAATTCTTCCAGGTTGGCAATCTTGTGTTTGTGTGTTTGAGGAGGGCTTGGACGACCGATTGCTCCAAATCGAAGTTGATTGCCAGGGCCCCAAGGGTTTCCTCAATGGTCTTCCCAGGTGGAGGCACCAACCCCAAACTTGCCATTGCCGCCGGGGTCACTCCCCGGCCTGGCTGTCAACGCCGGATCTAGTCCTGCAATACGAAATGGGCTGAGGCAGACCCCGTCCCATGACCGACTTCCCTCCCTGTCTTCCACGGAAACCCCCATGACAGTGCAGGTGCAGCGGAGTCAAGCCGTGGAGCATCACTTGCGGGGGACTGTCACTCGCCCTTCAACTTCTCCCCAAAACCTAAGGTCCCAGCCAAACTTCACACCCCTTGGGGGGGGGCCTCAGAGGTTCTGGGGTTAAAACAGTTCGTCCTCACATCGACTTTCTTCTCACTCTCAGCAGAGTCGGGCCCGTCGGCACAGGCTGAGGCCCGTGCAAAATGGGGACCCAAGCTTATTTGGATGCGCCGGGGCGCTACAAGGCAAAACCGCAAAACATCAGCCATGGTCTACTCACTGCGCCGCCACCCAGCTGGAGCTCGCCCCTGGCAAAGGTGGCACAAAGTCCGCCCCCACGCTGACGCCTCCTCCCAGGTGTCGCACAGGATCGGATCCCTCAAGCGCCCAGCACCAGAGCGCGCCTGCTTGTGGCTGCACAGCGGCGCATCGTTCATCATGCGCAGGTGGATGTTCGAGCGCACCGTGGTCACGTAGCCCACCGGCAAAGGCCACGAGGGTCCCACCCTCGTTTCCTGCCGCATTCGCTCCACCCACATCCCGGTGTCCTTGTCGCGGGCGATCCTGCTATACTCGATGTTTCTGCGGGCCCGAATCCACGCCTCCGACTCCGAGATGGTCTCCCGGGTCAAGACTGCACGGGCCAGGATGCCCATTGCCGCGGCCCGGTGCCGGCCCGCCATGCAGTGCACGAGCGCCTGCTCACCAGCCGCCAACGTCTGCTGCAGCACAGCCCACATGTTCTTCCAGCCCTCCGTGCGGTCCCGTGGCTTCGTGATGGGCATGTACACCGGGAACGCCCCCGGCAATGTCACACCCCCCCGGCTCTCCGGGCTGTTCGGGAGGCAAATGATCTGCAGAGTCACGGGCGGGAAGTTGGGCACCTCCACCTGCTTCGGGAGTCCGGACAACCACAAACGGCCACCCTTCGCATTCTGGTAAATGCACCACCTGCGCAGCGCGCTCCTCCGCAAGGGCATCAAACAGCTGGTCCCCCTGGGCCACAGGGAGCACAGCCGCCGGACGCGAAGGCTGTGACGGGGCTTCCCTCGGGCCAGGCGTCACGCCTCCTCCGCTTCTCACCAGGGCCGCTCGGCTCTGGCGGCCGCTTCTGGGGCACCGCCTTGATCTTGGGCGACAGCATCATCGCCTCGGCACTAGCCGAGCCACTGCTAGCGGCCCCTGACGGCCGGGCCGGGATGGACGCCTCCGGGTCCTCCACCATGACCACCTTCGTCACCCGGCACACGCCCGCTGCATGCTTCCCTCCGCAGGCTCTCCCCGTCAAGCGGACACATGCGCAAAGGTGTGCAAAACCGCACACTCGCTCCCCGGGGCATTGCCCCGATTGGAACGCCGGGCATAGCCTCTTGCCATCACGCATCACTGCGGTCAGGCGCCGGCCGTTGAGCGAGGCCGGCATCGTGGTAGCTGGCTTAGCCGCCTCTGCCTTGGCTTTGGCGATCCGCTTGAGCTTCTGCGTCAGGGCGAAGCGCTTCTGAAGCTCCTTGGGGCGTGGGGGGGCCGCCCACACCACCTGGGCGTCCCGCGCCTTGGCTTGGGCTGACGCCGCCTGGCCAGCCTGGGCCGCCTCCTGGACCTCCGCCGGCGGAACCAACTCCCAGGACTCGTGGTGGGTCAGAGCCGCAACCGCTCCCACCATCCTGTGCTTGGCCAACAAGGACGCCGCGTACTTGGCCCCGCTGTAGTGCAATGGCATGCGAGCATCCTCCGGGACGTCGCCTTTGGTCTGCCAGTCGCCCAGCGCCGCCATGTCGAGGGCGCTGAACCCCACCAGTTGGCCCACCGTGGTACCAACCGCCTGAACGAGTACGATGACACCATCGCCGGGTTCTCCACCAAGTCCGCAAACTCATGCCGGACCATCCGGTAAACATCGGATAGCGACCACGGGATCCCCTCCCGACGGAACGCCAGTTCGCAGTCTGCGTTCTGCTTCTCCGGCACCAGGGCGAAGTCATGGAGCCAGGCCGCCGACCAGTCCCACCCGGTTGACAGCTGTCCGGGTACGCAGAAGTCGAAGCCCTTGCGAAGGCGCCGCTGCTTCCCTTTGATGCAGTGCGCATGGACCGTCGACATGGTCACCTTCCGCACCTCCGCCCGAGTGAGGTGCTTGTGGCGTAGAACTCCTCCATAGAGCATCCATGCCGCCAGCAACGCTTGCCAGCGATCATCGCCCTGCGTGTAGAGCTCCTCCATCCGCTGCTCCATCTTCAGCAGCATCACCGGTTCCACTACGGCTGCCTGTCCCCTGGGCCCTGCCCGGCGCGCCTGTCCCGCAGGCGGCGTGAGCATGCTCAAACCCAGATCCACCCTCGCCTGCTTGGTGAGCCAGCGCAGTGATTGGGTAGCACGGGCCGGGGCAGCTGTTCCTTCGTGGAGGAAAACATCAAGGTCGACCACCTCCGGCGGCAGCGGGCGAGAACGCGCCTGCATGAAGGTGATCACCTCACCCCATGTGCGCAAGGCATTCAACACCGTGGCCCTTTCCGCCTCCGTCACCAACCGCTGCGCCAAACGAGTACATGATCCTTTCCACTCGCGCCGCAGCTGCTCCGTCAGGACTCCTGTCGGCTTCATCGCCCCCATGTCCTGCAGTGCCTCGCCGAGCCGCTGGACCTGCATCGTGATCGCCTCCGGTTCGTCTTGAACTGCACGAAGGCGTACCGCCGGAGCCCTCGAAGGCCGAGGGGCCAGAGGCCGAAAAGGAAGGTGAACAGCCGTCCCCCGGCTCTCACCCTCCACCACATCAGCCGCAGCCGGCAGCAGCTCGGACTCCTGGGCGCTACGCACCCGCACCCACGAGTTGGCCAGGTCCCTGCCGCCAGTAGTCAGCGCCTCCTCAAACGAGCGGAAGGCGAACGCAAAGTCCGCATCATTCTGCAGCCCGTACTCGCGCCTCCACCTGGCGGTGTGCTGGGCGCCCACCGCGCCCAAAGCCGACTCCGGGTCCCACTGCCCCCCGGCGTCCCCCGCCAGGCGAGCGTAGATCCCGGTCGGCACAGCTGCCATGGCGCTAAGGATCCCCCAGAGAGACCAAATGGCTGAGGCATTCCTCGCAGATCGGCCTGTCCCGGATGACGTTCCTTGTGAGGGCACCACACCGCATGCAAGGGGGGGGAAAAACACGCTCTCCTGCTGCAAAACCAGCCAGCCACTGCCCCAGAGCCTTCCCGGCCCAAGCAGTGGCCCCATCGCGACTCTCCCAGTCGCCGGAGGGGATCGGCTCATATGCCGGCTCTCGCCAAGAGACCCGGCCTGCCTGCCACCTCCTCCACGCCCAGAAGACGGCCTCCCGATCGAGGCCACACTCCTCGAGGCCGGCCAACTCCACGTAGCCAACGAACCGCGCCACGTGCTCGGGGACCAGCTGCTGCACTCGCATGCCCGAGTCAACGGCCCGAAGCTGATCCTCATCCAAGTAGTCCCGGCCCGCATAGTAAAGGTCCCAAGCTGCCTCTGGGCCAACCTCCGCTTGAACCAGGACTGCGCGTTTGGTCCATGTCCCGAGCCACGGGAACTGGAACCCCCCACGCATCTCTGTGCACCTAGCACACCCTTCCACCATGCAGGGAACCTCCCGCAACGACCCCAGGGAATGAATGCGAAATTCAGAGGTCTCGGTTGGGGGGAGGTGCACCACCACCACAACAGCCCGCCACAGCCGAACGGCCTGGTCCCGTTCCCCACGGGCCAGCAGTCCTTGCACGTAGGATTCGAAGTCCATGAGGGCCGCCGGGTGCAACATCCGCGCCTGACAATGGGCCACCAAAAGGCCTGCATCGGCGCCAGACATGCTGGAGTCCCACTCCAGACAACAATATGACCGAAAACCAAAAAGGTGTCTGCCAATTTGGCTCAGTCTTGATCCAAAATGGCAGACCCATAACAATTGATGATACATGTTCACCCAATGCCTGCCAAGCTCTAAACATGGCATACATATTTATGTTCTTGCCCTGGGCTTGGCTCCTTCACCCACCAAGGCCGTTCTGTCAGATGTACATCATCATGCAAGTATTGTTGCTATTGTCGTCATCTATATCCGCGGTTGACATGGAACTACCTTCCACGTGGCCCTCAAGCTTTTCGCTGCTACCGATGGTGGAGAGGTCGACACTTTGAGGCGGAGCATTTGTTTTGTCAAAACATGTAACCCCTCCCCCCCCCAAACAGACCAACCAAACAAAACAAACAACCAAGCAGCCCAGCCGAAAACCTGGTCCTTGGTGAGCGGCCTGAAGACACAAATCTCGTCCAGGCCTGGATCTTCCGAGTGGCGGGGAAGGTTCAACAAGGATCCTTGCATATACACCTGAACATTGCCTTGTAAATGGTGGTGTCCCTTCATTTGGTGGCAAAAGCAACATGTTTCAAGTGGTTGCAAAATGTATCTTTTAAGGAGCCCTGTTCAAAAAGTCGGCTTGGAAGAACCCCAGGCCCTTTGGTGAAGCTTCACATGAGTCGCAATCAAAACCCGGTCAGAATCAAAACCCGGTAATGTTGACCCAGGATCTAAGTAGAACCCGTCCCATTATTAGGGGGGTGTTCTCTGCAAAAGTGGTCTGAATCCCCACTAAAAGGGGACACCCCCCTATTAATCAACCAGGAGTTGATTAATCCGGGGCTAACAGTGTTAAAATGGTCTACCCAGAACCATGTACAGGATTCAGAAGGCGGATCTCAGCAGCTATTTATGGCAAGGGGATCCTCCCTTACTATCCTTCATCTACCCGGGTTTTGATTGTGGCTCACGTGGGGTGCTGTCCAAAATTGACTTTTTTGGGACCTTGTGCCGCCTTGTGCAGCCTTTCAAAGGGAATACCCAAAAGGGCCCCTAATTTTGACAAACCTTCACATGGGGGCTGATCAAAAGATCATTTGCATGGAGTGACCATTGGGGAAACCACAAAAAAATGATGTTCACCACTAAATGGGAAACAAGAACCTACATGTTACATGTTGTTCAATGGAACAAAGAAAACTTCACAAAGCATCATGGCTGAAGCTGCAATTTGCATTTCTTGCCGCCGAGCATTTTGGACAATCTGGACTGATCCTTGCGTGGTCAACCCTCAGCACTGCGCGCCACAATTCGCAGTGAGGGGTCAAAGGCGTGAATCCAGCAACGTCTCGCTCGGATTTAGTTGCAAAACTGAGACGATTTCCACTACGCTCAAACGTACCACCAAGGACAAACAAGCTATACACCACTATAGAGGAGCCACTACACAAACGATGTGATGTCCAATATTCCCTTTAGTCCCCGTAGTGGTTTGGGGCTACCGTAACCCCTCTTCGAACTCTCAGCACAAACCAACTGTACTATGAGCCCCGGACGGTTCAGGAATTCTGGGCGGAAGAAGCTCTTCATCTCCTGCAAGGCGCACGCACGCACGCGCCCTTGAGCGTAGGATTCGGCCGCTTGAGTAACAGCCGCCGACTCCTCTCGCTGACTTCACCCCACCCACCCTCCGGTAATAGGATTTCTATGCGAAGTCTCTGGGCTTCTACGGCCTGGTATGTCTTTATATCTCTCCATCTATCACTTCCGGAGTCAACTGTAAGTCCTTGAGTAGCTGAAAGGAAGTGATGGGGTGATAAAGTGAGTGAAGAAGATATGGTGAGATATGCCACCATCAGTTAATCAAAACACAGCATTTTCATGGCATCTCCCGTCTCTTCATCTCTCTTCTCTGTCTCCCACCGTTCACCTCTGGAATAGCCACTAAGGGGGTGGGAGAAGAAGAAGAATGGCCAGGTCATTCATCTCTCTTATTCTCGCCCCGCATTCTATGACATACCAACGAACCAAAGAAGAGTGTGAGCAAGGATGAGATGCGGACATGACCAAACAACAGTGAATAAGAATTAAAGGACAAGCCATGAAAATGGCCGATCTCCCCTTGGCTTCCCTAAGCAATTAAGCCCAAAGGCTACTCCCAAGAAAAGGCGCAACCAATTAGGCCGGGTCTATGGGTCCATGAATAGCGAAGAGTAGCCCTGAAGGCCCCTTGAAGAAAAAAACCTTCCAAGAACGTATGAATGTCTGGGTCGTTTTGTCCATGAAATTGGCAGAATGAATACATGAATAACTGAATGGCTCAACAACAAACAAATCAAAGCGGTCAGTACATTGGTACGCGCCGTGAATGGCTTTCTTGTTTGCCACTAAACGGCCTTACCAAACATAAAAAGTCCAGGAACTCAGGAAGCGAGTTGTTGATTTTCTTGGAGCTCATTTCTCAGAAGGTACTCGCATTGCGGGAGGGGAAAAAAAGAGGCCACGTATGCATTTCAACCCATGAAGACTTCCCACCGGGACACAGTCTTTCTCTCCACCTCAACGCGGAAATTGGGGGCAGGAGAGGCATCGGGTTCTGTCGCTCCATTTGAGGCGATTTTGGGGCCCAACTATCCAGCAGCCAACCAACCAAACCAAATTCAAAACTTGTGGCAACCGACCCCTTTCAGCTATTGCCACACTAGCCAGCACCCTTCCCAAAAAGCGCGGCGTCCTGTTTTAATTCATGCTTTTTTGTCAAGCGGAACTCCTATCAAACCAAACGCGGACTTGTCTTGAAGCGAGCTCCAAAACTGCAAAGCCCAGCCTCATGCACCGCCTCCCTGATGGCCTCAGATGTGCCGCAACCGGCGCCGGAAATCTTGGGCGGGGAACTTGGACTCGCCCGCTTTTTCTGAACATTGCCTTGTAAATGGTGGTGTCCCTTCATTTTGGTGGAAAAAACCATGTTTCAAATGGGCAAAGTGTGTCTTTTAAGGATCCCTGTGCAAGTTGAGGTCATAAGATTCCCCTCCCCACCCCCCCCCCCCCACCATGGCCCAAGTACCCTCGCACCATGCCACCAGATAGCTGACTGTTGGTGATTCAGATGGGTGCTGAGGAGGTGGTTCATCCTGAATTCCAAACCGCCAATCCAGGAGCGCCCTCAATTTTTGGATCTTGCTGGCCGCTGAGCGGGACGTCAAGACTTGTCGTAAAGGGGCAACCACCTCGCTGGAAGAAGCCTCAACCCAACATAAAAACAGTGGTTTCCCTTTGACAAAACATGCGCATGTCCTAGTCTTTGGTTGCCTTTACCAAGGTGCCATGTTGGCACATGCTTTTGAGCCACGGCCATCTGCGAAGCTTGTCCCTCTCACAGCCGATTCCTTGGACCCCCGCGCGCGCGCCGCGGGACTTTTGGGGCGCCGGGCGTTGTAGCTCCTCTCGGAGCTGTCCTCCTCGGTGCCGAAGCCCAGGCCCAGGCCGCCGCCTGAGCTCCGAGACGGCGCGGCGCGGGAAAGGCCCAGCGGGCGCGGGAGGGGCGCGACGCGTTGCGCGGCGAAGAAACGGAGAAAAAAAGGGATCCGGTGACCGGTGGGACCGAGCCGTTTTCGTGTTTGGTGGGGTGTGGGCAGTTGGGTGTCAGGTATGTGTCAGGTGTCACTGGATGTCCCCTTCAAAAGTTGCCACTTTTGGAGGTTGCCAAAAGGGATCCGGAGGAAACCCTGTTGGTGGGCAGTTGAGTGGTTGGTCGGTTTAAGGGGAAGCCAAAGCGAATCCCAACGAAAGGTCCTCTAAAACACCTTACAAAGGGAAACGGTTCATGTAGGCTCACCCCATGAGACAAACCAAATGCACCATAAATACCTTGCACGCTAAAAGGGCGGGCTTTGATGGCTCAGCTCATCCCTTTTGGACAACTCAAAAAGCTGTGCGGGCTCTTCCGTGTCACAGGGAGCCACTCCATTCTGTTTTGAGAACCCATCCAAAAGGAACATCAGTGTAGATTCACTCATATGTTGTTTGAAGTCCTTTGCGTCACCAGACCCCCCAATTGGAAGGAGCAGCCATTGTTTCACATTTGTAGAACATCGAAGCCAGCACATTTGCCTATGCTATTCTATTCTTCGTGAAATTGAAACTCGAATTCATCCGCAACCAGATGTCTATGAGGCTTGGTCAAAATGACTGGTCTGTCGGTCTGTCGGGACATGGGGAACTTCCCAAAATGTTCCATGCGAACATCAGGGGGACTCACAAAATGTCCCATGCGAAACAAGGCATGTTGATTGCGGCTATGTTGAAAGTGTGCCGCACCGGTGCAGCCCTCAAAAGCGAAACTTGCTGGTGCACATGTGGGTGTGCCTTTTTTGGGGGGGGAGCCCCGTTTTGGTTGGCTTTAAAGGGAAAACCACAAAGCCAACCTTTTCTTGGGGGGTCCCTAAAAAACACACCCATGCGAGTCTGGTCTCTTTCCGCTAGTCTCTGGAAAGAAAATATGTTGCCCTGCTGTCTCAGCGACCCAATTTGGCCACGCAAATTCTTGGACCCCCTTTCAAGTTAAGGGTGAGCTCCTTCGCAGCATTCCCAAGAACCACCCTCTGCCGGGCCTGCGCCCTTCTGCACGCTTCGGCTCCTCAGAAAATAAAGAAAGAGGAGCAGGCATAGGTGTCCAATTTTAGGGGGAAACCAAACAGCTACAAAACCTAAAACCAAAAACCAACTAAAAACAACTGCAAAGCCAAACAGCTACAAAACCTAATCCCTGGTAGATGAGAAAAAACCACCAGGTAAACCAGGGATCGCCCAACCTATTTTTCGAGCAAAACAAGCAAAAAGGAGACCCATGGGAGCAGGTCTTCATTTCTGAGGCCAAAGGCACGCCTGCCCAGGCTTCGAAGATATCTGCCGTTGCACGTTGAAAGATACTCAACTGGCAGGGTTCTGCCACTCCCTGAAATAGTTGGGACCAGGATGAATGAAAGAAAACAGGACTGGCAGAGAAACTCCTTGTCAATTTGGTATTCTCCCTCTCGTGGTTGTTTCCTTTAACCGGGGATCCCTTGGGGGAAGGTTTGATGACATGTGGTGCCCGTACATTTTCCTGTACTCCTCTGACGCTTACATTGGGGAAGCCGTCTTCCATCACAGGACTGGGCGGCCCAAAGCCCAGCCTTCATTGGGACCTCGGTTGTCTTCGGTTTGCCTTGCAAGGGCCGCAAAAAGGCTCAAACCAAATGCCCTCCCACCAATTTACATGGAACCTGACAGGGGAGGACAATGGTCTTGCAGGACCCCCCTGTCAGGTTCCATCTTAATTAGTTAATACCTAACCCCAAGCTAGCGATGAAGGTGAAGCCGCGCCGCGATCTTTTTGTAAGCGCACAGCCATAAGCATTGGACCCCTGCTCCCAAACACCAATGGAAGATGTTTGGTAGTAGAGTTGTTGTTTTAATGTATAGCGTCGTCTTGTTTTATTGATTAATTTTAGATATACTCTCTCTTTTAGTAGGTTTTGTTTTTTCTGAGACTCCGAGCGGCTAGAAACAAACCCTGGCTCCACCCCAGAATACGCTCGACCCAGGGGACTCGCTGAGCCCTGTCGCCACATCCGAATGCCGATTCGGCCCCCGGCCCGAGGTTGGAGGTCATCACCACCAGCGTGTTGCTGAAGGACCTGGGCCGCCATCGCCAAGCAGCTTATTGAAGCAGCAGGATTCGTCTCCGGACGCGGAACAGCTCCCAAGTGGTTGTCCCTTCAACGGGTCTCAAGTGGGGTGAGAGATTGAAAAAAAAAACATCAAAAAAACTTGCTCCTGAAGATCAAAAAAAAACTTACTAGGGGTCAAAAAAATACTTCCTCCTAGATGTACTACTAAATATAAAAAGTCAGAGGATCAAACAAAACTTGCCAGGGATCAACAAAAACACTTCTTCATTTCGTGGCAGGCGCAGCACTTTCGCAAGGTCAGGTACAGGTTTTGCAGCAGGCGCAGCATTTTCGCAAGGTCAGGGACAGATTGCGTGGCAGGCGCAGCACTTTTGCAAGGTCAGGTACAGATTTCGCGGCAGGCGCAGCACTTTCGAAGGTCAGGTACAGATTTCGCGGCAGGCGCACCGCTTCCGCAAGGTAGTAGAGCTTTTGCGGCAGGCGCGGCACTTTCGCAAGGCCCGGTACAGATCTCTCGGCAGGCGCAGCACTTTCGCAAGGTATGTACAGATTTCCCGGCAGGCGCACTTTCGCAAGGTACGGTACAGAGTTTGTGGCAGGAGCAGCACTTTCGCAAGCGATACAGAGAAAGATAAAGAGAAATAAACATGAAGAACAAAGGGAGAAAAAGGGAGAAAATGAGAAAAAGAGAAAGAAAGAAAAAGAGAGCGCGAGAGAGAGAGAGAGATGCTTGGTGGAATTCCTCCTTTGTTCGCGCCAAGGTTTCGCTTGTTGAACATGATTTGTGAACAATCGGCTGACTTGATGCCGTGAATCCCCGGCCCCCCCCCCTCCCGCGAAAGAGAGGGAGAGAGAAGAGAAAGAGAGAAAGGCAGAAATAAAGAGAGAGAAAGAGAGATGGACAGCAAGAGAGAAAAAGAAAGAAAGAAAGAAAGAAAGAAAGAAAGAAAGAAGGAAAGACAGACAGACAGACAGACAGACAGACAGACAGACAGACAGACAGACAGACAGACAGACAGACAGACAGAGAGAGAGAGAGAGAGAAACGAAAGAAAGAAAGAAAGAAAGAAAGAAACAAAGAAAGAAAGACAGAAAGAAAGACAGAAAAGAAAAGAAAATAAAAGAAAAGAAAAGAGAAGAGAAGAAGAAGAAAAAAACAAACAGAAAAGAAAAGATAAGAAAGAAACGAAAAGAAAAGAAAAGAAAGAAAGAAATAGAGAGAGAGAGAGAAAGAAAGAAAGAAATATCGAAGAAGGGATGATTCAACAAAGGGTGCGTAAATCTCTGTAAACTGTCTAAAAATCAGCGGTCTGAGAAGAAGGTTTTTTTTGATCCCTAATACGATCTTTATTGATCCCTAATATGTTTCATTTTTTTATCCCTAATAAGTTTTCTTTTGATGCCTATCCCTCCCAAGTGGTTGTCCCTTCAACACCCAACCAAAAGGGGCTCCCCGCATCGTATCGTGATTCTGCCGATGAAAGCTTGCTATGCTTGCACGTGTGTGTGCGTGTGTGTCTGTGTGATGAAGTCCACTTCCTCCCGCTTAATGTTTGGTAGCATTCTGTACTCCATGCAAAAGCATACATCACTTACAAGATAGCAAATGGCGCTCTTGTCACTTGCCGGCAGTACTTTCTACAGTGTCTCCAGCCCAGACGTATCCCGAAGTGCCGAGGGCTGGCGCACGGCAAAACATGTTGCCCCAAATGACCTTTGCCATACGTCCCTCGCTTTTGGATACCCCAGTCAATCCACGCCAAAAGAGTGCAATCAACCGGTGAAACCCGCAGCTGGGTTATTCAAAGTGCTTGGCCGAAAGTTGGAGCTCGAATGTGTCCAGGCACTGCGCCCCTCTCTTTTCTTTTCAGACTGCTCAGTTTGCCTTACTTGGGCTGCCTCTCGCGTTTGCTGACTTCCTTACATGGAGCGCCCTTCTTCATGCTTGCGTGCAACCTCTGCCGCCACATAGGAGAAGCTTCACACAACCAAAACCAGCCCCCAAACCGAAGTCTACCAGTCACAGGTGTCCTTTTGGTCCTTTTGGTTGAAAATAGATGAACTTCCTTGGTAGAGTATAAAACCTGACCAGGTCAAACAGGTCCATCTGGGTTTGCATTTTTAGGGGACCCCCCAAGTTGGTTTCCCTTTTAAACCACCAAAACAAGGGGTACGGGGTTCCCTCAAAAAACAGACAAACAGATTTATGTCCAAACCAAAAGAGGGCCACTTCTGCTACCAGCCAGTTTGCACGTCTCGATTCGCTCTGATTTGACAAGGCACACCACACGGCCCTTAGAGTCGGTGAGGCGGCCATCATCCAGCAGCTGCAGCAGAGTGTTGAAGACGTCAGGGTGCGCCTCCACTCAAAACACTCTAAGGAACCAACTATAGGGAAAACATAGGGGGAGGGAAATTCCGGAAAAATCATCCACGGTGGACATTTGCGGTAAAACCGGCACAAAGAGCAGGGCTTTTCTCTTTGATACACCCTGAGGGTACAGAATTCCAGGTTGAACTTTCGGTCGAGGAACATGTCAACGGGAGATGGCTTTGAACAGGCCGGCCCTGCAGGTTTCAGTTGAGACCCGTTTTCTCTGACCTGTTCGAAGAGAGGTTCCAACAAGTATCAGGGTTCACCTCTAAAAACCATTGAAACCTGGGAGCCCAGCCCCTGACTTTGGGGAAGCAAAGTCAAGATTTGCTATTCCTGAGTTAGGGCCGTTAGGACCCAAGGAGCGTGTCCCAGTGGTAGGTCGTCGCTTTGAGTTGCTCCCCGTGAGCGCAGGTTAGGTTCAGGGCCTCAACCAGCTGATTGCCTGCTGCACAGTCAACCCTTCACCTTCCAAGGGGCTTGCCTACGACTCTCGTGCCTGAGGGAAAGGCGATATTCTAAACAGCCACAAAGGAGCTGTGTCAGGAGCCTGATGCTTTTCGCCCCACACGACATTTCCACAGCGCCGTCATTTGGGCTTTCCCTTTCAAATCCAGCCAAAAAGGGTCACCCACTCCAACAAAAAGGACGCCGCTGCCGCCCATGTCGTCGGCGCCAACATGTTTTTTCGATCCCCATCCGGTGGGTCAAAAATATAGGCACCCAAAATGGCACCAGCCTGGTAAATGGAAAGGACCCCAAAACCTGCGGTCTTTCCCGGTGGTTTCATTTGAGCCACACCCGTTCTCGGATCCAATGGGGAGTTGCCATGGATCGCCAAAAGTCGCCTTCTCCACCTCGTCGAAGAGCACCAGGGAGTAGGGACGACGGCGGACAGCTTCTGTGAGGGTGCCGCCCTCGCCGTAGCCCACGTACCTCCGCTGCTGCTCGATGGGCGGGGAATGAGAAATGGCATGACCCCAGAAAAAAAAGGCCTCCGGTTCTGGGGTAGCTTCCGTTTCCGTTCTTTCCACGGATCCGAATCTTTCCAGAAAACCACCAAAAACCCTCTGGAAACAGCTGGTTGTTGAAAAGAACGATGGTTGGAAAGAATGGGGATCAACCCCTAGACCTGTAGTTTCCTTTGAGGGAAACCCCTTCCGGTCCATTCCCAACACCCTGGGTGATTCCTTGCTGAGCACCAGCAAGCTGAGTTTGACCGGCATTTGCACCATTTCTTGATGCGATAGGGAATGCAACTCATCCGGGTCTTGGGAATGAACCGGTTTTGGGGGTTTCCCGAATACAGGAAACCATAGGATGGATAGGGGTCATTCCATTTCTCATTCCCTGAGAACCAGCAAGTTTTTTCTTTGGGACGTATCCATCTCTGTGAGAGGATTCCACAATCATCGCCAAGTCAAGGGGAGCTGCTGAACATACACAAGCGATGATACTGACTTTGCTGGGCCGCTAGCTGGTGCTTGCAGACTTCCCTTGCTGAGTATTGCTCCTCTCACTCTCCGCTCACTTGCTCGTCCCCCAAATCATGGTTGTAGTTCTTCCTTTCTTCCCATAGCTGACAGGGGCAGGTGTGACGCAACATGTAGGGGTTGTGGCCCCCGAACTTCTTCAACACCAAGAGGGTGGCTCATCTCGTTTTTGTTGCGGACCCCCCTGTTGCTTGGTTCTTAGGAAACCAACCAGAAAACCACCCGGCTGGAGCCGTTTGGGCTTTAAGGGAAAACAAGGAAGAAAACCCACCCATTTCTTGGGGGGGGGGCCTCCACCCAAAAAAAGAACGAGCCCCCCCAAGCACCCAAGCCCCACGCCCCCAGTCCCTCCTCTCCCACCCCCGCATGCCGAAGGAATGCTTCGAACGCCTTCGAGCCTTCGAAATTTCCCCAACATCCCACGAGGCGAGGCGCCCGGGAGGGGCCCCCAGGAGCTTGGAGACCGTGTGCTTCTCCATGAACTCGCTCATGTCCAGCCGGATCATCGCCTCCGCGGACCCGAAGAAGCCTCGCGTTTCCGCCCGAAAAGAAGAAACTCGGCGGCGGGTGGACCCTGGTGGACCCCTGACCCGTGACGCGCCCGGGGGGGAGACGCCGCAGGGGGGGGGGGGGGCAACAAGGGGAAACCTTGGGGTTTCTCCGTGTCCTTGTTGTTTTGGCAAAGGGGACAGATGTCTCTCTGTTTTTACTTGACCAACTTTCGATCGGTTTGGCCAAGGTTTCTTCAGGTTTAGGTTGGGGTGGGGTGGGTTGGGCGTGGTGGGTTGGGTTGGTGGGTGTGGGTGGGGGGTCAGCATGTTCGGACGTATGGTTGCCTGCAAGATCAATGTTTCCTGTGGTGATGAATGTACAAGAAGGCATTTGACCTACACCCCCTCAGTCAACATACGTCGTTGAAGTGATCAGTCGACCAAAAATGGGCCAACGCAAGGCCAATTCGCAAAGCGCTCAGGCAAGTCCGAACCAGGAAAGACCTTCTTCCGCTGTTGGGTAGAAAAGACAATGCGTCTGGGAAACTGACGCATGTCCGTCCCTTTGTGGTGTCCTTGAGGGGACGCCACAATCATGGGTTATTTGGCAGCAATGAAATGGGTTTTTGTGTGTGTGTGCCTTTTTTGCATGGGTTCAAAATTTGAAACCAACAAAAAGGAGCCGACACATGTCACGCTCAAAAAAGAACACGAACCGCTCGCGCCCCCCATTGCCCCGTTGCTCGCGCTCAACATGGGAACGAGCGGCTGGAGGACAGCTTCTTGCACAGCTCTGTCTTGCCCACCCCCGTGGGGCCGCAGAACCTGGCAATTGCGACCACAGATCCCTTTGGTTGATGAAAACCAGGTCCTCCAGTAGAGAGGTTCGAATACGGGTCTATTGTAGTAGGTGAACCCTCCCCTCTACTGGGCTAGAAAAGATCCTGCAAACATGAGATGACCATTGGGGGAACCCACGAAAATTCTGATAATTCTCTATTTGGAGGGCGCCTGGCTTTTGTGGTTTTGAAAGGAAACCAAGAGGAAAACCACCACCCCTGTGTTCGTGATTTTGAAGGGACACCAAGTGGAAATTCGATGCATTTTGGGAGGTCCGACCTTTAAAAAGACCTCCCCAAATCCCTTTATGTCAGACCCCCTGGTGGACGTGCTTCCCAACGTCTCTCCAACTCACAAGTCGGAGCTTGCAGCCTGGTCCCCGCGGCCGAGCCAAACAAATCCCAATCGCATTTGTGTTCCATGACCATCGGACAGGAACACAAAAACAAAAAAAAGAGCGCCGCGTTGTTTTTCTTGAACAAACCCAATCTGGAACAAACCCAAAGTTCCAACCATCCCCGGCCCTGAGGTGCCCCGCATGAAGGCGGCGATGGGCCGGCCCGGATTCCGCAGGCCCGCTCTCGCCCGGCGCAGGGCCCGCGACACGCTGCTCACGGCGTCCTGCTGTCCGATCACGCTCCTGCACGCGTGATGAGGGAACGGAGGGCCGTCTGAAACGGAAAGCCTTTTGTTGGAACCGCAACTTCTCTTTCGAAGGCTCAATGTGAAGATTTGAGGGCCCCCTACCTTTCTGAGTTGTCCTAACATTACAATGTCTCTTCCAGGTACAGCACCTTCGTCGAAGCACGTGTACCCTTTGGCATGTTCATGAGTCAAATAGAGGGACCCCTTTCCAGAGAGCTTCTACGCTTGGACAAGGCAACCCCCGAAAAGCGTACCTTAAACACACACACACACCAACACAGAAAACCCTTGGGGAAAGCGGTGCTGGGTAGAACATGTGTTTTACAGTCTTGTGTGTGTGTGTGTGTACGTGTGTGTGTGTGTGTGTGTGTGTGTGTGTGTGTGTGTGTGTGTGTGTGTGTGTGTGTGTGTGTGTGTGTGTGTGTGTGTGTGTGTGTGTGTGTGTGTGTGTGTGTGTGTGTGTGTGTGTGTGTGTGTGTGTGTGTGTGTGTGTGTGTGTGTGTGTGTGTGTGTGTGTGTGTGTGTGTGTGTGTGTGTGTGTGTGTGTGTGTGTGTGTGTGTGTGTGTGTGTGTGTGTGTGTGTGTGTGTGTGTGTGTGTGTGTGTGTGTGTGTGTGTGTGTGTGTGTGTGTGTGTGTGTGTGTGTGTGTGTGTGTGTGTGTGTGTGTGTGTGTGTGTGTGTGTGTGTGTGTGTGTGTGTGTGTGTGTGTGTGTGTGTGTGTGTGTGTGTGTGTGTGTGTGTGTGTGTGTGTGTGTGTGTGTGTGTGTGTGTGTGTGTGTGTGTGTGTGTGTGTGTGTGTGTGTGTGTGTGTGTGTGTGTGTGTGTGTGTGTGTGTGTGTGTGTGTGTGTGTGTGTGTGTGTGTGTGTGTGTGTGTGTGTGTGTGTGTGTGTGTGTGTGTGTGTGTGTGTGTGTGTGTGTGTGTGTGTGTGTGTGTGTGTGTGTGTGTGTGTGTGTGTGTGTGTGTGTGTGTGTGTGTGTGTGTGTGTGTGTGTGTGTGTGTGTGTGTGTGTGTGTGTGTGTGTGTGTGTGTGTGTGTGTGTGTGTGTGTGTGTGTGTGTGTGTGTGTGTGTGTGTGTGTGTGTGTGTGTGTGTGTGTGTGTGTGTGTGTGTGTGTGTGTGTGTGTGTGTGTGTGTGTGTGTGTGTGTGTGTGTGTGTGTGTGTGGTGTGTGTGTGTGTGAGTGTGTGTGTGTGTGTGAGTGTGAGTGTGTGTGTGTGTGTGTGTTGTGTTGTGTTGTGTTGTGTTGTGTTCACCTACCAACCAAAATGGGATCCCAAAACGGTTTTGACCACCACAGCCATGGAAGTTGGGGCCCGGGTGTACCACCGCCGCGAGGGCGGTTCTCCGCTGCGGGTTTTCGAGGACAAGCCGAGGCGCTGCCCGAGCTTGGACTCCAGCTGCAGCAGCCGGGCGGACTCAGTGGCTGACACCTGGAAGCCAAGTCCCCGAAAACTCGAAGCCCGAAGCATGGCAAACTCGCGTGGGGAGGTGTTTGATGCCTCAGCTTTCATCCACATCAGCTTTTGAATCTTGACTTCTCGGCGATTTATTGAATTTGATGTCCATCCACCCTGCGTTCAGAGTCTTACCATGAAGATTCATCAGGGACAAGCTTTCCAATGGCCGCGTACCATCCTTCTCGGAAGAAGACTCTCTCAGGACCCAAAGGGTGGAACTCATGAGCCCCAAGCCTTGGCGATGCTTTTTCTGTCTTCGCTTTCTGAGGTCGAAGGCTCCGGGTGGAAGCGGGCTGCGCTTGAAAGCAAAGGAGAACCCTAGGATAAATTTCCGCGGTCCAACCCCAAAGGGTTGGGGGGGAGGGCAATCCTGAGCGCGGCTGTGAAAGGCAATGTGAAAATTGATTTGCCCCTTGCTCGGTGCTTTGGCTGGCTGAAGACTTGGTAGTGGCTTGTGCACGCGGAAACTCGTTTTTTCATCACATGCTTAGACACTGAGCTTCCAAAAGCATGTACAAGTCACCGTGCCAAATAGCCAGGAGATGCCAAAGCAAACTGCTCAAACCGCTTGAGCTTGTGGACGCTGCTACACTTGGCACAAGCAAGTCTTTGAGCGCAGATCCAACAAACACCCGGCAAAGCAAATGAAGGCATGAGCTTGGATTCTTTTCAACCGCCAAACAAATCAACCATTAGGGTTTGTTTTAAGATAGGGACCGCCCAAAACTGGTGTTCCTTTTCTTCCTTTGCCCTTTTGAAACCATCCAAGACAAAGGCAGCCTCGAAAAAAGAAAGAGGCATACCCATCAATCGGTTTCGCGCCCTTGCGGCGCATCCAACGCGCCTGCTCCACGGCGATGCCGGTCCAGCCGGACACCACCTGGGCCACGTCCGCCTCGGTCACCCAGACCTCCTGGAGAGATCGATCGCGCTGGGCGTCGCGGGTCTACGCCCTGGGCGTGCCTTCTGGTTTGGAGGTTGGTACAAAAAGCAAGAAAATGAAACCAAAAAGGTTTAAAAAAGACACCAAAAGGAAACCACATGAAACCAACATGAAGCTTCTTTTGGGGTTGGTACAAAATAACAACCAAAAGGAACCCCCCTTTTTCAGACACCCAAGTGTTGGTCCTCCGCTTTGGCGCCGAGCACCTCTCGTTCCTGGCCGATGGGAGAGTTGTGAGGCAAGGGGTGGGGTTTCCCCAAATGGATTTTAGAGGCCAGGTGGTGATTCGTGTGGATGTTTTTGATGGTACCCCCGTTTTGGGTGGCTTTAACGGGAAACCCACCGGAAAACCGTTGCGCCATCTACGGGGGTCCAAATCCTTAAAAAAGAAGAAACAGACACTCCGATACTGTGGATGGTCGCGAAATCCATTTCTTAGGCACCACCTAAGAAACTCTGGTTTCGGATGATTCTCCTGTAAATACCAACAAACAATGGTTTCCCATGGTTTTAAAGTGGTGAGGATTTCGTCCATCCACAGTACTTTTGAGGTGGCTCCTAAACAAACATAGCCAGATGGGAAACGACCGGGTTATAAAGGTCCCTTTCCAAGGAAGATTGACGTCCAAACCATAGAACCACTTTTTGACAGTATCTTAAAGGCCATATCCCCAATTCTCTAGCCGTAAAGGCTATATCCCCCATTCTCCCCTGGACGCTCTTGGCAACCATCCCAGCAAAGTTGGGTAACCTTGAGCCCTCCACCACCCAAACCCCCCCACCCTCCCAAGACCCCCTCCTTGGGAAACCTTCCCAAGACCCCCCCTGCCGACCCCGACCCACCCGGCCCCCGACCCCCGACCACCCCAAACGCGCCTTGGCCTTGAGCTCTGAGGCCTCGTCGAAGCGCTCCGCGGCCACGGCCTCCTCCACCCGGGCCCTCAGCAGCCGCAGCTTCTCCTGCTGGTCGCCTCTCGGTTTCCGCGCGGCTCGCCGGTGCCGAGGCCCGCGGCGCAATCGATCGCCAACGCGGAAAGCGCGCGAGGGTGTTTGGCGCCCGGCCAGGGGCGGGGCTGTGTCGAAATGTGTGTGTTTGTTTGGTTGTTGGTATATCCCATGGTTTGGTGAAACCAAAAGGAACGCATGTGGTTGTTTCTTCTTTTGTGTTTTTCTTTTGTTTGATTTTTATTTTTCCGCTTCTTTTTTTTTTTTGGGGGGGGGGGTAGCCCCATGTTGAATGGGACACCAAAAAGGACAACCAAAGCCACCTTCGGCTCCAACCTTAAAACATACCCAAAGATGTTCAAGGGAAATCCAGACACCTGACGGATCTAAGTCGAACCTCTCCTGTAAAAAACACAAAAACATATTGTCGGGGTGGGGGGGGGGGTTTCCCTCCAAAAGTGAGGAATCCTCACTGAAGGGTGACGTTCCCCTATTAATCAACCAGGGGTTGAAGAGTTCCGGGTTCCCCATATTGCTTAAACAACCTCATGCTTGTGCCCCCTGTAAAGTGGACCAAGGGCTCGTTGTTCAAACAAAATTGGCAAGTAACCCTGGGCTAAGCTTGCTGCGTGTGCCAGAAGTGTTGCGGGCAAATCCAAACGAATACTTTTGGCTGCTGTTGACCCTCCTGCAAAAAGTTTAACTTTCCGTGCTTCCAATGGAACTCCACTGTTTCCCAAAAAGTTACAGTCCAAAGATCCAACCAAATCGCCACACAAAGTACTCTACAGCATGGTCATGCACTGCGGAAGACAACATTCCACCGGACAGCCTCAACCCCACCCCCCCCCATTCAACATCATTTAGAAGGTGTATAACCCCCATTCAACCCTAACTGGAAGGTTTCCCCCCCCCCCCACCAGAAGGACGGGTTTGGCGGTGGGCCTTTTGCCACTGAGCCCCCCTCCACCCCATCCACCTCCCCTCCACCCCATCCACCCCCCCCTACCCCAACCCCATCCACCCCCACCCCCATCCACCCCAACCCCATCCACCCCCACCCCCGCCATCCAACCCCACCCACCTCCCCTCCACCCCAACCACCCCCCCTACCCCCCACCCCAACCCCATCCACCCCAACCCCATCCACCCCCACCCCATCCACCCCCACCCCCGCCATCCAACCCCACCCACCTCCCCTCCACCCCACCCCCCTACCCCCCACCCCAACCCCATCCACCCCAACCCCATCCACCCCCACCCCTAGCCCACCCGCAGCCCCGCCTGTGCCGGCGGGGGAGTTCTTCTCCATCTTCCCCACCAGGCTGCTGAGCCGCGTGTTCAGCTCCTCCTGGCGCAGCTTCAGCGCCTGGGCCTCGGTGAACTCCTCGTTGGCCACCGCCAGGCTCTTCTTCTCCTCGGGGTGGGGGAGGGGGTGGGGGGGGGTGGGGTGGTAGGTGGGGTGGGGGTGGGTAGGTGCGCAAGCAGAGGTGACTAAAGCGCAATGGAAGGACACGCTCTGGTGTGCGTCCTTGTTCGTGGTTAGTTTGCTTGCCGACGCTATGGGTGCAGTGGGCGCAGCACCCAAGGAAGTCACGGGTTAAAGTTGAGGGTGTGTGCTAGCCATTACTCACTGACCTTCCCTCGGAAGACTTAACGTGCCATAATGTTAAGGCCTGTGTAAATCCCGGGTCGCTATAGCAATTGTTTTTCCTGATTCAGAATCTTGTGTGCTTCGAGGTTCGCTTCAATGGCAACGTGGTTGCTGAAAACTAATCCCGGCAAAACAAATCGGGCAACCCAGAATCGGGCAAACAGATTCGTGTTTTGAAGTGGCCCCAAACCATCAAATTTAAGATAACTTCCTTATGTTTCAACTGTATGGCCAGCCAGTGTCACAAAGGGCACAGGAGGCCCTGATTCTGCTTCATGTGACTGTTTTGTGGCTTGCTCTAATGTCAAGCTTGTTTGGGGGGTTGGGGAACTTCCCACATCAAAACCTGAGCCATTTACGTTTCAGGGGTGGCAAAAATCCTAAGCTCTTCCCGGCTCAAAGGTCAAAGCCTTAGCAATACTACTGTGGAACTTGCAATGCTAAACTAAGTACTGGGAATTTGGCGCGGCCATACCAAACATGGAATCTGAGAGTAAGGCTTTCGAATAAAGGGTGAACAAATGCTCGTATGGCCATGGGTCAAAATCCAAATCGTACCCCCAGTGAACATCCCAATCCCCACTAAAATAGGTTCTAGAATGGGTGGTGAATTCACCTACCCCAACATGGTACCATTGGTTTGAACCCACAGCCATATGGATCTCTGTTTTTGATGGTACCCCCAGCCGGAAAATCGAAACCGTTGCGCCATCTAGGAGGGTCCCAGTTCAAAAAAAAAACGTCACGCTGATGCCGTGGATGGACAACATGCTGCACCTAAGAAACCCTGAGAATTCTGATGATTCCCCTGCCTGTAAATACCAACAACAATGGCTTTCCATGGTGACAAAGTCTAGGTCCTCCAGTAGAGAGGTTAGAATCCGCCGACCCTCTGCCTCCCGTCCCAGCCTCCTGCAGAGGGGACTGGCGTGGGATGCAACTGGAAGTGATTGCAAGTCCCGGTCCCTGCCGGCGACCGGTCCAGGGCCACTAGGGCCACTGTCGCCGGGGCAGTTTCGGGAGGGCCAGTTTCAGGGCGACCCGGGACAGGCGACTGCTCCCGGGCCAACTCGAAGTGACTTGGGCGCAAGCCGGCCCAAGCGGCAATTCACGGACTAGCTGCCATATTTCTGATTTTTCCGTTAATCCTTGTTTGTGGTCGTAGAAAATCTTATGAGTGGTGGTCCCTGGGTTTGCGGACGTGTTTCAGGACCGGTCCTTGTGACTTTTCCCTTAATGCGCCGAGGGTCGGCGGCAGCAGGCGGGAGCCTGGTTAATAAGGGTACCCGATTTTTTCCTGTTTAGTAGGGGAACCCTCCCCCAAAAAAAGAAACCGCAAAAGGGCGGGCACCTAGCTGGGGGACCTAGAAGTGGTCTCGGACTTTTCGCCACCATCCACAAAAACCTCGTCGAAGCCAGTCAGCTCAAAGGCTCCAAGATGTTCTGTAGGGAAACCTCTAGGGGTATCTTCCCCATTCTTTCCAGGGATCCGAATCTTTCGGAAGGGAAAATCCGGGTTTCCGGTTTCTGGAAAACGGATCCGGTTCTTGGAAAGAACGATGGTTAAGAAAGAATGGAACATCAACCCCTAGAAAAACCCAACACCTGAGGCATCCAAGCAGAAGCCCTCCCATTTAATGAAAAAGATGCCGATATATCGAAGCCGTCGAAGCCGCTCAGCTCATTTCTCAGGTCTCTCCTTGAGGCTCTGGAGCTCCCTCTCGAGCTTCCGCCGCTCGGCCATGTCCTCCGCCATCTCCTCCTCCTGGAAGAGCTGCTGGCGAACTTTGGCGCCAGCCTCATCCATCACGTCGATGGCCTGCAGTTCTGTCATCCCTCTTGGTGGTTTGGGGCCAAATCGGCTTGGTTCGGTTTCCCAAATTTACCTCTACAAACCGCCAATCCAAGCCAGCAGTTGGGGGATATCTGAGAACAAGCGTCCAGCTCGGTTCAAATGAATGGGTTCAAATGAATGAGTCTGGAAGAAACTGGACAAACCTTGGAACGGTCGCAGGCTCATGACTGTTGCATCTGGTTTGCTTGACAGGCTTTTTACTAATCTCTGCGCCTTGTCCGGCAGGAATCGGTCGTTGATGTACCTGGGCTGGATATGCTACGCACGGGAGAAGGGGCCTCTCGATCGTGACTTGCAAGAACCACGTCGCCAAACAACTCCAAGGCATGCTCGCGAAACCATCAGCCAGTGCTTGCATGGCTGTGTGCACAGAACAAACCAGGAACAGGGGAAGTCGAGACACTATGCTTGACAATTGGGTTTGTCCTTTTCGGGGGAACCCTCTTTTTTGTTTGGTTTCAGAGAAAGCCAAAAAGAAATCGAGCAATTTTGGGGTCGACAAAAAGACGAGCCACTCTGGTTTGAAGGCTACCACTTGAGTTCCAGCATGCCGCTATCTCCAACAGCATGTTCCCCACCTCCATATGAATGAGTCTCTCCAAAGCCCCCGCGCAAAAAAAAAAAAAACGCGCTTTGAAAACTACCCTACCCAGGCTGAAATCTCCGAAAACCCAAAAACATACTGTCCTGAAAGCATAACACCGGGAAAAAAATGTTACTTTGTTGAAAACAAAGAAAACCATTGACCCGCCCTCCCCCGCAAAAAAAAACACACAACCGAAACAACCCCCCCCCCCCTGCCATCCGCCATCCGCCAAAAAAGTGAAGCAAACAAATCCGGCCCAAAGTCCCCACCCGCGGCTCGACAGTCGGCTCGCGGCTCGCGGCTCCCCTCTGCCCTGCGCCGGGCCACTGCGAGGCCAGACGCACGGAGGCTCGGATGGCTTCGGGCTCGTACCTGTCAGAATCGAGGGCATGCCGCAGAACTGTGCCCAACCCCCTAAAAGCGTGGGAAAGAAAAAAGCAGAGAAGTTGGTGTGTGGTTCTCCCCTTTTCTGGGGGTTGGGCTTGTGTTTTTCTTAGTTACCCTCACCTTGGTTAGGGACACGGACAAATGGAAAGAAGAAGAACAAGCCGCGAAAATGGGGAAAGGTGCAACCCATCCTCCAGTACGGCAATATGGGGAATCCCTTTGTTTTGTTTCTCTTTTCTGAGGGCAGCTGGGTTGGGTGTAGGTACCCTTTCTCACCTTGGTTTAAGGGGAAAATGGAAACACTATGGAAACCGATTCGCCAGATCCCCATTTGACACAAATTCCGCTCTCCGTTTCTGGCGCGGAGCTTCGGGACTCCGATTTCCTGAACCCAGGGCCCTGCCCCAATCAACTGGAGACCTTGTCCATTCCCAAAGGAGAGCTTGTTTTGTCCACGGGTCAAATGCTGGCGCTGGCTAAAGACCCAGACTTCAAAGCAACTCTGGATATCTCACCTGTCAGCATTTTGCGCGTATACCTTCAGCATGTGGGCGCTGGAGGGGCTGGTGCTTTCGCGGCATGGCCCTGGTCCATTCAATAAGCCGACTTCCAAAAGGCGCAAGGTCAACCAGGGACCCCGTTCACATCCCACCAATCCAAAAAGAAAAAACAACCAAGGGAAAAACCTGAACCGCGCTTCTTCATTTTTCAGAGGACACCAAATTTGCCTCAGAGCCATGTCCGTCTCCAAGTCGCACCTCCATTCCATTCCATCCCCCCAAACGCCTCGCCTCAGCTGGTGGTGGCGCTCATAGCGAGGGGCCAAGCCCTGCAGGATCTGCTCGGACTCCTAAGTCCCAGGATTTGTTCAATTGGCGTCCTCGTCTGGGAGTTTTTTTTTGTTTCCCACGAAAACCAGCACTCGCTGAGTCTGGCTGGAAATTCTAAAATAGTCCTTGAAACGAAGATCCAATTGAAATTACTTTGTTCAGAATTCCTAGGTATTTGAAAAAAAGAGCACAAGTCCAAAGACAATCTGCAAGCTTCAGGATAAAAACTCTTCCAGCGAATCTTGAATCCAGGCCCGAATGAAATGTTCATCGGGTTTGGATCTAATCTCTTCCCCCTATTAATGAATGACCCCAATTAATAAAAAATGGAAATCCAGGGCCCGGGACCAGATTTCCACTCCGCACAATTGATGTTTAATTGCGCCAATACTAAACCAATACTAAAGTCTTGGAATCCTTATTAGGGGGCACTTTTGACAAGCTTCCAGCCCCACTTTTAAGCTGCGACTGTCTCTCCCCCGTACATGCTGGCTAACCTGCCTGGCTGCAAACAAACAACCAGTAAACTGAAAAACAAATAGAATGATACACACAATTTCCTTGCTAAACCGCTTACTCGCGGACCTTACAATTCAATCCATTTCCTCCAAATCCTATGTGAACCCTCACATTGTTGGAAAAGCAAAACAACCCAACCCCAAAAACCCCAATTAAAACAAATACATTTTTGGGAGGATTTATTAATAATAGGGGAGGGGGGGGGGGTATTTATTAATAGGGGGAAGAGATTACCTCTGTCCTATTTTTCAAGCTGAGGTTTGGTCAAAAGATGCCAAAACCACAGCAAAGAAGAGAGTCAGGGCCCCAGATTAAACCCTTTCTCAGAGGAAGGCCCCTCGTGAAGGGGGCCCCAAATCATGCCCCCCCAAGGCCTACAACCGTTTAAACCGTTTTAACCGTCTCAGCCCTTTCTCAGAGGCAAGGTCCCCCCACCCCCCTACCCCGAAGGGCTGGGGCCCCAAAACCGTTTAAACCGTTTAAACCGTTTAGACCGTTTAGACCGTTTTATCCCTTTCTCAGAGGAAAGCCCCCTGCCCCCTTCCAGGGTTCTGACCGTTTAAACCGTTTAAACCGTTTAGACCGTTTGGACCGTTTAGACCGTTTTAGCCCTTTCTCAAATGAAAGCCCCCCCCCCCGGGTTCCACCTGAGAGAGGGTTCAAACGGTTCAAACGGTTTAAACGGTGTTGGGCCCAAACCTTTCCTCTGAGAGAGGGTTTAAACTGAGAAAGGGTTTAAACGGTTTAAACGGTTCAAACGATTTTGGGCCCAGACCTTTCCTTTGAGAAAGGGTTCAAACAGTTTAAACGGTTAAGGGGTTCAAACTGTTGAGTCGGAGTCAGATGTAGTGGGCATCACAAATGAAGACAGACACAAAGGTCGACATTTGGGGGGGGGGGCACCATATGTATATATCAGCCTCCCCCCCCTACACAAAAGGAAAACTGGCAACAAAAAACAAACATCGGCGTTCGCTCCTCCTCCGTCGGCTCAGGCACCATTATCGGCTGGAAGCGGCGCTCCAGCGCGGGGTCCTGACTCCCGAGCTGGGGGGCCCGTTTGGGGGACCCCAAAAAAAAACGCTGGTTTTCCTGTTGCTTTCCCTGCAAAATCATCCAACAAGGGCACCCGCACGAAAGACACCCCCCCATATAATATATAGGTTTGATTTGACCCCGGATGCCACCTGAGAAATCGCAGTGCCACTTCCATCATGAGAGTGGACGTGCCCTTTTTTGCGGCATCCCTCCTCTTTGAGTGTACAAACCCCGGCACCACAACCCAACCACCCCCCATGCGCGTTGCCCAAGAGACCCCAAGACCTCGCCTTCTCGATGTATTGCCGGTACTCATCCAGGGTAGTGGCGCCGATGCACTGCAACAGGCCCCTGGCAAGTGCTCGCCGCTTGCCGCTTGCTTCCAAACCTACCAGGAGCCTAACCAACGTCGGTGGCTGGGCTGTCGCTGTCAGCACTTCGAAGTGTCAAGCTTGAGCTTCTCAATAGGAATACAGCATATATACTGTTTGTAGGATCCCTGAAAAGCCAGCCTATGCACAATGTTTGCTTGACTTGGAAGTGGCATTTCACTGGTCAACGTTCGGGACGATCTCGGAGTTTTCTTGTCGGCCCAAGCAAGAAATTGCTTCAAAGAGTATCTTGAAAGCAACACCCTCGAAGGAAGGACTGAACAGGTCACAAGCAAACTGCCTTCACTTTAAGTCTTGTCTTCTGCTTTTCCGTGTGACCAGTTATCATCACCTAATTAGGGAATTTTTATGGAGCAACTCGTGGCTGCAGACTCTCCGATGAGTTTGTGGACAAGGCTCTCCTCATACAGCTCCGAAGCATTCCACGGCTCAGACCCTCACATAACCACCACGGCTTCCCAGAACACAAGGGGTGCTTGACAAAGCTTCCATACCAGCGGAGATTTCTCAACCTGAGATCTCCTTCGGAGTTGGCGTAAGCATTGATAAGTACGCGCGCGGGGTCTCCGCTTCATTTGCCGGAAGCACTCACTTTATTGTTGTGCTCAAAGCGTGTGGGGGAGCATCTCTACCACGATGTTCACGAAATTGCTAGGAATCGGAGTATGCCTCTACCATCCTTCGCGCTTCTTGGGTATCTTCCTGTCGAAACTTTCTTCACTTGTCTGAGGGCTCATGGCTCAGCTTTTGTCCCAAACATACCTTTGCCTCTGGCCCATGGCGAACCTACTTCACCATTTGTAGAGGACCCAACCTTTCTGGTGGACCTTACTTTTCGGGGTTCGATGGAAAAGCGATCCAACGGCTCCGCGCGTCTCCCCCCCAAACGGGGCGAGCGCTCGCGCCCGGAGGCGGCCGAGCGAGGCCGGCGGAGAAAACAGCGGATGGCTCGCTCGCGCCTGGCCAGCGCGGGCTTCAGGAGGTTGGCCGCGTCCATGCCGCCGCCCTCGCCTGAAAGGCCCCAACGAAGCAGAGGCGGTGAAAGGCCGGTGAAGCTCC